TTGGTAAAGTAAAGTTTCAGTGGCACTGTTGCTACATTTGCTGGCATGTCAAGCGAAGGTTTGAGTGTAGTCCTCGATGGATTGACCAGACTTCTGCTTGAGTTTTGGGATCTTGTGAAGTCGTTGGCTTTGAGTGAGGGAAGACTTGAATCGGTCAATGAGCTTGAGTGTGAGGTCATCGAAACTTGTATTTTGAGGAAGCATTTGAGCCCATTCATTGGCTCGCTTTCGAAGGGTACATCAGAAGTAGTATGGGAGTTCGGTTGTGTGGCCGTTGATATGGATTGCTTCTCAAAACTGTTCAACATGTGTCTCGGTGTCTTCCAACTTCAGACCATGAAATAGTGGATAGGAGACATGTCTTCTGACGGGTATGTTGGCTACGGCGGTAGTGACTACCATTTGCTGTTGGTAGTAATGTCGGTATTGTCAAGGTTGTTTTGTCGGGTTCTCACCATGGAGTCCGAAGGTGATTTGGAGCAAGGGGTTGTTAGGGTTGACAACAAAGTTGGTGTAGGAGGGAGCTGGTGAATTGTTGTTGTTGTTTAGTGGACTCTCCTCTATTTTTTCTTCTTTCTTGGGACTTTTATCGGTGTGTCGTCGGTGTTTGGTTGCTTGCCAGTGTTGATTTTCAGAAGATGCTTGTTGAACTTGTTGTCAAAGTACTTGTCAGAGTTATGTTGTGTTGGTTGTGGTGGTTCTTCTGGATTGTCGAAGAGTTCTTCGAATGTATAATTGTGTGATGATTGTGGTTGCTGTTGAAGATTATTGTCGTCGATGATTGGTTCGTCAACCTCATTGTTGTTGGACGATTATAGTTGTTCGTCAGCTCGGTGTGAGTGGTTGACTTCTTCGTCGAGTGCTTGACTATTGGATGATTCAGGTTGTTCGTCTTTACCGCTATTGACTAGGTATATCGGAGTGCAACTATAGTGGGTGAAGTCAAGTTGTTGTCTTGTCAGTGTGTTAAAGTTGAAAGCATGTTTGAAAGGTCTGGCTGATAGCGGGCTTCAGTAGAAGTTGGATGCAAATATGAGATATATCGGCGTTGTTGAAGATTGGTTGGTATGGTGAAAATGGTACTAGTCTAGTGAAGTCTGTAAAGCTGGGCAGGAAACTCAGTCATTCATTGTCACTGTAGATGGGGTTGGTGAATGTACCTTTGAAGTGGTTGTATGCTTTGAAGTGGTTGAATTGTGTGATGATTGTGGTTGCTGTTGAAGATTATTATCGTCGACGATTGGTTCGTCAACCTCATTGTTGTTGGATGATTATAGTTGTTCGTCAGCTCAGTGTGAGTGGTTGACTTCTTCGTCAAGTGCTTGACTATTGGATGATTCAGGTTGTTCGTCTTTACCGCTATTGACTAAGTATATCGGAGTGCGACTATAGTGGGTGAAGTCAAGTTGTTGTCTTGTCAGTGTGTTAAAGTTGAAAGCGTGTTCGAAAGGTTTGGCTGATAGCGGGCTTCAGTAGAAGTTGGATGCAAATATGGGATATATCGGTGTTGTTGAAGATTGGTTGGTATGGTGAAAATGGTATTAGTCTAGTGAAGTCTGTAAAGCTGGGCAGGAAACTTAGTCATTTGTTGTCACTGTAGATGGGGTTGGTGAATGTACCTTTGGAGTGGTTGTATGCTGCTTGAAAAATGTTTTGTTGCTCGAGCGTAGTTTGTGTCAACTGCTCAAATGTTTGGTCAGGCTCAGGCACTTCGGTGGGTGCTGTTGAGGGTGCTACCGGTGGTGTGTCTGGTGGTGTTGTGTAGTTGTCATATTCTTCATGAATGTCCGAGACTAGTTTGTTAGAGTTAAACGAGTGAATGAATGCTGTGTATTGATATGAAAATGATGAGTGGAGATGGGGATCCACAATTCGGATTCCCCCCTTTGAAAGGCTGGCAGTTTTAACTGCTAGCATATGTTAATAAATGGTATATGTTGTGCATGATCCAATCTATGGCTCTGATGCAACCTTGGGTTCAGGGTTGGAGTCCCTTAAGCTTGGGTTTTTTGTTGATACACCTTTTTCCACCATTGGGCAACATGTGGATAACCATCTCCTCTCCCAATCATAGCCATTTCTTTCACACTTTGTAACCATCTCCTTTCCCTCACAATCTCATTATACTTGGCCTACCATCTCTTTTGCTTCTTTCACCATCTCCTTATACTTGGGCTGCCACTACATCTCTCCCTCTTCAAGCCATCATTATTAATCTTTTCTTTTGCTAAGATGTTAGTTATGCTTTGACTTTGGGCTATTTGGGACTTTTGTTTCCTTCTTCTTTTGTGCATGGTTTTTATTTGATCTTTGCATTGCAAGGATCTTAGAAAAATAAAGTCTCAAAGTTCCTAAATCTTTAAACAATCTCTAAATCTTTAGGTTTGTGGAGTTCCAAGATCTTGTTTGAAATCCTTAAGGGTCTCTAAAATTCTTAAATCTATAAAGTGCTTTAAGATTTTATTTCATTTCTAGCTTTTATTTAGAAGTTTAATGTTTTGAAACATCTATGATTGGCTGAGTTCAAAGTGCCTATGATTGAATGATCTTGAAATGCCTTAGTTTAACATAGTAAACGTTAGAAGTAAATATTAGTTTTAAATGTTTTTACTTTTAACTTGATGATTGATTCATTTCTTTTGTTTGGTTTTGCAGGTTCTTGTGTTTGAGTAGGAATATAGATTTCATTATTGTCTATATTGTGATTCTCTCTCTAGCCTCCTCATGTAGATCTTACAACTTCTTGTAGCTTGAGATTGAAGTTTGCTTAACTCATTTTTTGGAGGTGGTGGTGATCTTTATTCATTCTTTCCAAGTATATAAAAGATGTGTCTTAATTAAGTTGTAAATTCCAACATGTATTTCTCCCCTTTTTTTTTCTTCTTTGTCTTTTTTTATTTTAGCTTTGTTTTGTTTGTGAGCCTTTTATTTGAGTTGTTGTTTCTTAGCATTCTTTCTTTACTTTTTCTCTTCGTCCATATGTGCCTTCTTTTCAATTTTTTTTGTAAGCTCAACATAAAATTTCTTTAAATTAATTGCAATGCTTATTATAATAAGCAAGCTTAGAAGTCTTGATGATGAAACATTGCTAGTTTTGAATACTAATTTTGCTAATTTTGTTTTGTTATCTTGATTTTCTTTATGGTTTTTTTTGCTATTTCTTTCATTGTTATAGCCTTCAGTCATCATCATTAAGTCCTTTACTACTTGAATATAAGCCATAAATTTGAGCTTCCCAAAAAGTCATCTAGCCTAATAATATTCAAACTTAAGGATATTTAACTCTAAATATTTTAAAATCATTAATTGATTGAAAAAAAGGATGCACTTTTGTTCATAAGCCTTTTTCTTCTATATTTGAACCCTTATAAAGTGTCTCTTGAGTTATTCTCTTTAATTGCTTACATTGAATTTCCTCTAAGGTGGTTATGTATAATGCATTCACTCTATATTCATTATCCATTCTCACGTTGTTTAATAGATAATGTATGAACTTAGCTTTGATGTTACTCTTTAAATGCAATAAGTGACACTTTTGAAACCAATTAAGCAATATTCTTCTTTGTAGGTATTATATTCATCATCCATCTTTATTGATTAACAAAATTCTTAAAAACTAGTTTTGAATGACCTAAAAACATATAATTTTTGTGATGTATAGGTGGGATTAGTGTTATGTTAATGCCTAGGGATACTATTTTCACCAAAGCCACAAGGTTGCAATAGCTCTTATGACCATCTACTATAAAAATGTGTAAGTGTACAGTTTATAAAGTAATCAAGACAACTAAGATATAAAAGATTATTGATCCATGCTTTTTCACTAATAGTTAATACACTTGACTAACAACCTATTATCTAGTTAGCCATTCTTTAATCTGTTTGGAAGATATATATATTTAGAATTATTTATCTCCTGCATTGCAATATGTCAGTGTAGTGAGATACTCAATGTTATTTAGAGTGATTATGTAAAACAATTTAAAACTTTATAGAACTAACACCTTCATACCTTGAGTTTGACTAATAAATATTACAACTTTATCATAGTTCTATATTCTCTTTAGTGTGTATCTTTTAATGGTGTATATACTCTCTAAGTTTTGGTAGGTTACATCTATAACAGACTTGTTTATAAACTTTATGCAATTAATTCCTAATGATTTTGCAATTCTATATATGAGTTTTAGATGGTGTTTTAAAAATCTACTTTACTACAATCTTTCAAGTGTTCTATGAGAGAATGGATTTGGTTCTTTGTGGGAGCTAAAAAAAATATTACTTTTATAACACTGATTTTCTACATTAGTTACTCAATTTTTTGGCAAATTATAAGGAATTTTTCAAGAATTGCATTTTCAAGTATAAGCATAATTTTTAATTTTTTAATTTTTTATCTTTTGAATTCCATCTCTCTAAGCTGATAACAATGACTTTAAAATGTTATATTTTTTAAATGTAACCTTTTTATTTAGCCCATCATTTAATGGCCTTTTTGAAATCTTCTTCTTTTATTCATATGCATTGTTGTTATTTTCTAACGGGGTGAATTATAAAAAAATAATAAGTTCTATAATGTTTCCTCTTTTAACATTATTTACTTATATAAACCCTAGGTGAAAGTATTGATGAAGAAGTAACAATTATAAGCATTTTGCTATTTAATAATAGAGATGTACTTCATTAATGTGAGTGCATAAGATACAGAAATATAATTAACTTAAAAACTTTAGCTTATATAAAGCAAATGGTCCTCACACACTTAATCATTTAATTTTGCAATCACAAATCTCCTTATCACACATCTTTATATTTAAATTATGAAATAGATTTTTAAATATTTAAACTCTTTTATATCATTAAAATACTTACAAATTCTTAATTTCTATCAAATAAAACTAATAATCTTTAATTTTTTAGTTTTACATAAAATAACCTAAAAGTTCTCAATTACTCACGCTTTTTTATTGAACTTTTATTTTTTATCTTCGAGTCTAGGGTTTTTGGGGAGCTAGGTAGGGCATCAAAGGCTCCGCCTGGGCGTGGAAGGGCAGCGATGAGCGTCTGGAACTACGTCGTCACTGCGCACAAGCCGACCAATGTGACGCACTCGTGCGTTGGAAATTTCACGAGCCCCCACGAGCTCAATCTCATCATCGCGTAAGTCCCTGTTTAGCTCCTCTTGCGCTTCTCCTCTCACTCAATCATTTCCTCCAGAAAATGTACACGGATTGAATTTCACTTGCTCACAGCTCAAGGTCTCCAGGTACTCTTTCACGCCTGCTCTTTGTTTTTCGTTTAGTTCTAAGTGTCTCTCGTTCTCCTCCAGCCTCTTTTGGACGTGCCAATCTATGGCCGGATTGCAACCTTGGAGCTCTTCAGGCCTCCGGTATGAATCCTTCTCGTCTCGAATCTTTTCTCATTTTCTCGCACCACAGGGAGAGACCCAGGATGTCCTGTTCGTCTCCACGGAGAGATACAAGTTTTGTGTCTTACAATGGGATTCGGAGACGACGGAACTTGTCACGAGGTTACCTTGAGTTTTTCAAGAGCAGGTCTCATTTTTGTTTCCTGTTTGGACAGGGCAATGGGTGACGTTTCAGATCGAATTGGTCGGCCGACGGATAATGGACAGGTTGCAGTGTAACTCTCTGAGTTCTATATGACGCATCATGTTTTGTTTTTGTCTTTCAGATTGGCATTGTTGATCCAGAGTGTAGGCTGATTGGTCTTCACCTCTACGATGGCTTGTTCAAAGTACGAACTTGCTCAGCGCTACTTCTTATAACTGACCGTGGCTGTGGTTGCCTGAATGAAGGTAATACCAATCGACAACAAAGGACAGCTGAAAGAGGCGTTTAACATCAGGTAAGAATGTTTTTCCTGTGTGCAACGCGTAGTATTGTCAATCTTAGGCTGGAAGAACTGCAAGTGCTGGACATAAAGTTCCTGTATGGCTGCTCGAAACCAACAATTGCTGTCCTTTACCAGGTTCGGTTTCCTTCAATATCCTTTTAGGAAAAAACTTGGCGAATGTTTGCTTCATTTGACAGGACAACAAAGATGCTCGTCACGTCAAAACATACGAGATACAACTGAAAGAGAAGGACTTTGGTGAGGGGCCATGGTCGCAGAATAACCTCGACAATGGAGCCGGTATGCTTATTCCCGTGCCAACACCCCTTGGTGGCGTTATAATAATTGGTGAGCAAACCATCGTTTACTACAGCGGTTCAGCATTCAAGGCTATTCCCATCCGGCCTGTAAGTTGTAAAGCGAGCAAGGTTTACAGCAACTGATATTGTATGTTGCAGTCAATCACGAAAGCATATGGGAAAGTGGATGCTGATGGATCACGGTATTTGCTCAGTGATCATACTGGATCGCTACATTTGCTTGTGATCACTCACGAGAGGGACAGGTTTGAAGACGAGCTAGATTTTCTTATGGTATCAAATTTCTTGATACAGGGTACTGGGTTTGAAAGTTGAACTCCTCGGGGAGACCTCCGCTGCATCAAGTCTTTCCTACCTTGACAACGGGGTTGTTTATGTTGGCTCCAGCTACGGGGATTCACAGGTGAGTCGACAGGATTTTTCTCCTTTTAAAGGTTCTGAAGTGGTTGTGGTGCTGCAGCTCATAAAACTGAACGCGCAAGTAGACTCTAGAAACTCTTATGTGGAGGTTCTAGAGAGTTTTGTCAATCTTGGGCCAATTGTCGATCTCTGCGTAGTGGACCTGGAGAGGCAAGGTCAAGGGCAAGTAGTGACGTGCTCTGGTGCATACAAGGATGGATCCTTGCGTATTGTCCGAAATGGTATCGGCATCAACGAGCAGGTAATACTTTCCTTCTATGCTATGATATTCCTGTTCTAACTTTGCTGATATCACAGGCCTCTGCTGAGCTTCAAGGTATTAAAGGCATGTGGTCTTTACGAGCCACGTCCAAGGACGTCTTTGACATATTCCTGGTGGTCAGTTTCATCAGCGAGACAAGAATCCTGGCCATGAATATGGATGATGAACTCGAGGAAACTGAGATTGAAGGTTTTGATTCCGAAGCACAAACTCTTTTCTGCCATAACGCTATTCACGACCAGATTATTCAGGTACGAGATTCTAGACACCGCTGGATGGAATTTACTGGGATTTTTTATGCAGGTAACTTCGACTTCTTTGAGGCTGGTTGATGCCACTTCTCGACGGCAATTGACGGAGTGGAGAACTCCGTCTGCAGTTGCGATAAACGTGGCCACAGCCAATGCTTCGCAGGTATGGTGCAGTTAATCCATGTATGTACAACCAGCTTTGTTTAATAGGTTCTTCTCGCGACTGGTGGTGGAAATCTTGTTTATATTGAAATCGGTCGCGGGTCTCTGACGGAAGTGAAGCACGTACAACTCCAGAATGAGATATCGTGTCTGGATATAAATCCGATTGGTACCGATCCCGATCGTAGCAATATAGCAGCGGTGGGAATGTGGACGGATATCAGTGTGCAAGTATTTTCTTTACCCAACCTTGAGGTTTTGGCGAAAGAAAGTCTCGGCGGTGAAATTATACCACGCTCGGTTTTAATATGTGCATTTGAAGGAGTAAGTTCACAAGACTTTTCTTGCCAACCGGGCACTAATTTTCTCTGGCAGGTCTCATATTTGCTTTGCGCTTTAGGAGACGGCCATCTTTTCAATTTTCTGATCGACACCAGTAACGGTCAGCTTTCCGACAGAAAAAAGATTTCCTTGGGCACACAGCCGATCATGCTCCGGACTTTCAGATCTAAGAATGCAACTCATGTGTTTGCGGCGTCGGATCGGCCTACGGTCATTTACAGTAGCAACAAGAAGCTGCTTTACAGCAACGTGAATCTGAAGGAGGTGAATCATATGTGTCCTTTCAACTCTGCATCTTTTCCCGACAGGTCTGTTTCTAGTTCTCTTTTGTGAGCTCTATTAACAAGCTTTTGTTTGTCGTAATCAGCCTGGCAATTGGAAAGGAGGGAGAGCTCACAATCGGAACGATTGATGATATCCAGAAGCTACATATACGCACGGTGGCACTTGGGGAACACCCTCGCAGGATCTGTCACCAGGAGCAGACTCGGACGTTTGGCCTTTGCACCGCAAGGTTTTATAGCAACCCAAACGGGGAGGATCACGAAAGCCATTTCGTAAAGTTGCTGGACGACCAGACCTTCGAAGTTTTAGGCTCGTATAACCTGGACACATTCGAGAACGGCTGCACGATCATTACGTGCAGCTTCACTGATGACCCGGCTACGTATTATTGCGTTGGAACGGCCTATGCTCTACCCGAGGAAAACGAACCAAGCAAGGTACGAAGCAAATACTTTTCCTTAAGGTCTCTGCTGAGCTTCTTCTTTGTTTCTCTAGGGACGTATATTGATCTTCACTGTAGAAGATGGCAAGTTCCAGCTCGTTACTGAGAAGGAAACGAAAGGAGCTGTTTACAATCTAAACGCCTTCAACGGGAAGCTGCTAGCGGGCATCAACCAGAAAATCCAGCTCTACAAATGGACACAGCGGGATAGCACTCGGGAGCTTCAGTCGGAGTGCGGTCACCACGGCCACATCCTAGCGCTTTACGTGCAATCTCGCGGAGATTTCATCGTCGTGGGCGATCTCATGAAGAGCATATCGCTACTTCTCTACAAGGTATGCTCTTCGTAGAGAGTGTTTTCTTGCTTATGAACTGTTTACTACTTCACAGCCGGAGGAAGGAGCGATCGAAGAACGCGCGCGGGATTACAACGCAAACTGGATGACTGCTGTGGAGATCCTGGACGACGACATCTACCTCGGAGCCGAGAACAGCTTCAACCTCTTCACGGTGAGGAAGAACAGCGACGCTGCGACGGACGAGGAGAGAGGCCGGCTGGAAGTGGTGGGAGAGTACCACCTTGGCGAGTTTGTCAACCGGTTCCGGCATGGCTCGCTGGTGATGCGCTTGCCGGACAACGAGACGAGCCAGATCCCGACTGTGATCTTCGGCACCGTCAACGGAGTGATCGGAGTGGTGGCCTCGCTCCAGCAAGAACAGTTCAACTTCCTCCAGCGGCTCCAGCACTGCCTGGCCAAGGTGATCAAAGGCGTCGGGGGGCTGAGCCACGAGCAGTGGCGATCGTTTAGCAGCGAGAGGAAGAACGCCGACGCCAAGAACTTCCTCGACGGCGATCTCATCGAGTCGTTCCTGGATTTAAACCGGGCCAAGATGGACGAAGTCTCGGCAGCCATGAGCGTGTCCGTGGAAGAGCTTTGCAAGCGTGTAGAGGAGATGACGAGGTTACACTGAGAAGTGTGTTGTGAGAGAGGAGTTTTATACTGTTGTAAAAATTCAAGTAATTTATTTACCTAAGAGAGAAGAAGATGATTTTTGTTCTTCTTCCTTTTAGGGTTTCTGGCTAGAGGACGAGAAATGGAGAGCGAGCAATGCTTGGCTTGTCCGATTGCGTGCTTCGGCAGCGACCGCTGCGGCGATGTAGCTGAGGTAATCTTTGCATCGCATTTCATTATCCAGCTATGCAATCCATATTTCCTAGGCGCTGGTATTTTGTCCTCATTCCTTCTTGCGTGGCCGGTGCATTCTCTAGGAATTTCTAGGCTTTGGATTTCTTTCGCCAGGATTTCTTCCTTCAGAGGAGAATGAGTGTCTGGTTGATTTGTGTAGTTTTTCTTCTACTGGATCGCGGGGAAGCTGAGACGAATGCGAAGGATAGTAAGTTTTCATGTTTTTTCTTTTCATTTCTTTTCTTTGTTGAGCTTATGTCCATGTTGTGTTCCAGCTGAAGCACTCCGGGGCTTCCAACGGACTGTTCAAGACCCATTGTCCAAGTTTGAGAGCTGGAAAGGCGATGATCCTTGTGGACAGGGCTGGGAGGGGATTATTTGTGCTCCAGATGCTGCGGGAGTCAATCACGTAACAGAGATGTAAGAGCTCGTTGATCGTTTGTTCTTTCTTTGATTGTTTGATTTTTCCTTGAACAGCCATTTGCTAAACTCGAACTTTTCGGGAGTTCTTTCTCCTGATATTGGATCCCTGAGCTCTCTCAGAGTATTGTAAGCAACCTCTTGTGCTGCTGGACATCACTCACTGGCTTTTGTGTTTTCTCGCTAGGGACCTTATGTGGAACAGTCTGAGTGGAAGCATTCCTCCATCTATCGGGAATCTGTTGTCGCTGGAGCTTTTGTAAGTTGTCCTCGTTTTCGCTGTTCCTCGAATAAATTTTTTTTCCTCGTAGGCTTCTTAACGGAAATTCTTTCACTGGTCATCTTCCGGATGAAATTGGAAACCTTGTGAACCTTGATCGGCTTCAAGTTGATCAAAACAAATTTTCGGGGCCGATTCCATCGACCTTGACAAAGCTAGTTAATGCAAAGCACCTGTAAGCGTCAGACACTGCCAGGATAATGTGTTAAGCCTTCCACTTTTCAGGCACATGAACGACAATGCCTTTGACGGCAGTATTCCATCTGGTTTGGGAAGGATACCCGCAATCCATATGTACGTGTCCTGATTTTCCTGTTTAAGTCGAACTGATATTTTGGTAGCGAAGACTTCTAGATAACAATAATTTAACTGGGAAGCTTCCACCCGACATTGGCAACATATCGCAACTCCAGATACTGTATACAGACTCGATGCATAGTCATAAACTGATCCTCCTCTGTTACAGGCAGTTGGACAACAATCCTTTTGATGCACAGGAGATTCCGAGCACGTATACGACGTCGCTTGTACAGCTTATCAAGCTGTAAGTTGATGAACGATGGTGTTGTGCTCGATTCAAGTCTTACCTTACAGGAGCATGAAAAACTGCAACTTGCGAGGATCGATGCCCGATCTCTCCGCACTCACCAAGCTACAGTCTCTGTGAGTGGCAGAATTAAGCATGCAGTTCTTTTTACAGATTCGTCCTTTTTCCGGCAGGGATTTGAGCAAAAATCAAATGGACGGAGTCTTTCCGAACATGAGTTTGCCCTCGCTAATAACGATGTAAGATGCACTGGAAAATTCCCCCTTTAACAGTTTGGTTGACAGAGATCTCTCAAATAATCAGTTTACTGGCGACATTCCAGTCGAAGCTGCGGGCATCGAGACTCTAGAATTGATGTGAGTCACTGCGTTCTCTTGGTAGCTTACACTTCGTGGAAAATCCAGGTCTTTACAGAGCAATCTCTTGAATGGTTCTCTGGATCAGCTTTTAATCACCCTCCGTGGTAGAACGAGCGACAAATTACTTGTGCTGTATGTACTTCAGTTTTTGCTATCCAACTCGTCTAATCGTCTACTGTAATCACGACAGGGATCTCCAAGGGAACTCGCTGACTGTATCATCGTTCCCGAGTTTTAGTTTCTCCAGCAATATCAAACTTTGGTACTGTGCAATGTTGGCTGTGCGGATCTACTTACCTACAGTTTATACTTGTTGCAGGGTCTTTGGAAACGCGCAAGTGTGCGTCTGGCAAGCCGCATTCAAGTTTTGCGAGCATCAGAGCCTCGATAATGTACCTGACCACGGGCCATCTGATAGCAGCAACATCAATAACTGCGCGAGAGACATCTGTAATCCTGACATTGACGAACTTGTCCCCGGTTTGGCAGCCGATGGTAATTGCAAGTGTGCTTCTCCGATTCGGGTCCTTGTTCGTTTGAAGAGTCCGGGCTTCCGCTTCTTTGAACCGCATCTTCGAGCTTACGAGAAGTACATGGCTGCTGGATTGGGAGTGTCGCATCTTTCGGTGACCTCGTATTCCTGGGCCGGGCAGAGACTCCTCGTGAAGCTGAGTATATTTCCTTCAATGCTAGGTGATGATCGAAGGTTCAATCAACCAGAGGTGAAAAGGATCTTTCTTGCTTTCACGGAGTGGTCAATCCCTGATAATGCCTTATTTGGGCCAAGAGAGCTCCTCAGCTTCGATCCTCCTTATGGGATTGGTAAGTGGTCTGTTTCTTTCTTTCTTTGCTGTAACGCTTTGTTTGTTTGTTTTGTTTTCTTACAGAACTTTTTACGAGTGGAATTTTACCTTCGAGAAAGAAATTTTTCGCCAGTGCTATTCCCGTCTTTGTTGGTGTTCTTGTTGGAGTTGTAGGCTTCGTTGCTACCGTTCTAATCTGTTTTGTTCAGAAACTCAAGGACGACCAAAATAACTGTAAGTCTTCTGCATCTTCTACGTTTTAGCTCTGAAATGTGTACCAATGCTTGCAGCGTGGAAGAAGAGAAGGAACCTATCTTTCAAAGTTGAAGGTGTCACAAGCTTCACATGGGAGGAGATGGATAGAGCCACAGAATCCTTTCACGAATCTAACCAGATTGGTCAGGGTGGCTATGGAAAAGTTTACAAAGGAGTTCTGGACGACGGGACTGTTGTTGCTATCAAGCGTGCTGAGGAGGCCTCTCGAAACGGAACCAATGAGTTTCACAATGAAATACAGTTGCTGTCGAGACTTCATCATCGAAATCTGGTTTCGCTTATTGGCTACTATGTGGACGACGACGAACAGGTAGGCCGGAAATCTAGAACTGACGGCTCGATCACTGGGTCTTCATTGCGACAGATGCTCGTGTATGAATTCATGAGTGGAGGAACGTTACGGGACCATCTATCACGTGCGTTTTCTGCAATTGGCTTGACTTATATCCTTTTCTGACATTGTCTGCTCTTACAGCGACATTTACAAGACCGCTGAATGTCAGGTCTCGCTTGGTTATAGCTTTGGGCGCGGCAAGAGGCATACTGTATCTTCACACGGAAGCTAACCCTCCCATCTTTCATCGCGATATTAAATCGACCAACATTCTTTTGGACGAGAAGAACAATCCGAAGGTTGCTGATTTTGGCCTTTCCAAGCTTGCACCTGTTTCAGACGCTGACGGACTGTCAGGACACGTTTCAACAGTTGTGAGAGGTACACCGGTAAGTATTTTAATTTTCAAACTCAGGCTGTCTTTTACGAGCCATTTCCATGGTTTGAGCAGGGGTACCTGGATCCAGAATACTTTCTGACCCATAAGCTGACAGACAAGAGCGACGTTTACAGCTTTGGTGTGGTGCTGCTGGAGCTCCTAACGGGAATGCCACCAATCTCTCATGGAAAAAACATTGTCCGAGAGGTGAAAGACCGTGTTTCTGTTTGGGAGATTGACTTTTCTTTGTTTAATGCAGGTGAGATTGGCATTCGAGGCCGGAATGATTCTGAACGTGGTAGATTCCCGCATGGGACCACTCGCTTCCGAGCTGCTAGAACGGTTCGTGCGGCTAGCGTTGGCCTGCTCGAGCGACGAGCCACAGGCTCGTCCTTCAATGTCCGACGTCGTACGCGATCTAGAGGCCCTTCGTCTCGCTGCAACCAGGCCTGACTCCCTAGCTGATAGCGAGCCAGGAAGTTCTTTCAGGAGATTGGACAGCAGTATCGTGCTGTCGGAGAAGCTGGCGGAGAACGATGACTCGCAGTGCATCGGAGTGGTTCTTCCTAGATAGTAAGCTTTTCAAGTTGATAGCTTCTTTCAGCTCACGCTCCAACGGCTTTTCAGGTGATAAATTGGAATAATCTCTCATACGGAAGTTTTGTACTTTGCACTGCATGAAGTAAGATGCGACAAAATGGCTGATTTGTCCAGAATCTTCTGGCTAAATACTGTTTTGGCTACAGTTCTTTCTTTCTGCCTTTAGCCTTTTTCGCAGAAAATCTTTGGGCTCGGGAGGTCCCGGAAAAGAAACCGACTGTTCTGACAATTTCTAACAGGATCTTATCCCGCATATTCACTGGTGAAGTCAAGCACTAGGCCGCAAGGGCGCCAGGCGGTATGGAAGAGCTCAAAGACGCGCCTACAGGTATGCCTTCAGCATCAAATTTGCAATTCACAGTTTACTCTTCTCAAAGAAAATTATGTCTTGGCAGCTGAGATTTTGCTCCTACTTCCTCAATTGAAGCTCAAGCACGGCAAGAACTAGTTCGACGTCATGGCAGCTGAAACGTTCTTCAAGATTTTCCTGCTGCCCTTTGCTCTTGCGGCATTACTGCCCTCTGCCGCTGCAGCTAATACAGATCCAGGAGATGGTAAGCAGATTACGATTGACGCTATAGTAATTTGCTGACTGTTCTCGCTTTTCTGTGTCCAAGTCCGAGCGTTAAACGCGTTGCATAAGAGTCTTAAAGACACCGCTGGAAGGCTGCAGTCCTGGAATAATGGAGACCCTTGCAATGACTACTGGGAAGGCATCATATGCAGCGATTCGGATCTCTCAAACAGGACGAGTCGATCGGTGCTTGAAATGTAAAAAGTGCTTTGCTTTCTTGTTAAAAGTTTTAACTTTTTCTCTTTTACATTTCTTCTGCGTCAGTCACTTGATGAACTGTAATCTAACGGGAACTATAGCTCCGGAAGTCGGCGACATGGCCAACCTTCAAATCTTGTATGCTTGCTGTTACGTTTCTTAATTATAATCTGGTTGTTTTCTCGAGCAGAAACCTCATGTGGAACGGTATAACTGGAACCATACCCGCCAATCTTGGCAATGCTGGAAACCTCGAGTTGTTGTAAGCTTAGCGGTTGAATCATCACTCTTCTCTCTTGAACATGTTTGCTGGACAGATTGTTGAATGGCAACAAGTTAACCGGGACAATTCCTGAAGAAATTGGCAATCTGATGAACTTGAACCGGTTCCAGATTGACGAGAACCAAATCTCAGGGAGTATACCCTCTACGTTTGGCAATCTTGTTTCCATAAAGCACCTGTAAGGGAGTCTCTTGTGCTTCTAAGTTCTGAAAAGATCATCTTTACCAGGCATATGAACAATAACTCTTTGACCGGTATCATTCCTCCTGAACTAGGCCGGCTTCCAACTCTCTTCCACATGTAATTCTTGTTTTCTTTTGTGTGTGTGTATTCATCTTGTATATTGTTCTCTCTCCAGTCTCGCAGAGAATAACAATCTGAGCGGACCGCTGCCTGCGGAACTGTCAAACGTCGCGAGCATGCAAATCATGTGAGTTTCTCGATGTTTTATCGGAGCTGATGCCTTGTTCTCGACTCAGTCAGCTTGACAACAACAATTTTGGCAATGCATCAGTTCCTTCATCATATGTCCAGATGAAACATCTTTTGAAATTGTATGTCTCGTGATTTTTATTGCTTCAGTTACCCGGCCACGCATTTTGCAGGAGTATGAGAAATTGCAACCTTGGAGGAATGCTTCCTGACATCCGTGGATTTGAAAATTTGGAATATCTGTCAGTTTCTCTTTTATCTCTGTAAGGAGCTCACCATGTTTTCTCTTTTATTCTGCAGTGACGTGAGTGGTAACAGCATGGGGGGCAATATTTCACAGTGGGTTCTACCTCCGAATGTAACAACGATGTACGTTCTCTAATCTCCTTGCTTATCCTTGATTGCTTTTTTTTTTCCTTGGTTAGAAACCTGGCAAACAACAATTTTGGCGGACAGCTTCCTTCGTCGCTAGCTCACGGTTCCAAGCTCCAAGCCTTGTAAGCCACAGTAGTCCCTTACATTTTAATTCTTAAACTTTTTGACGGTCTTTAGGCTGCTGCAAAACAATCAGCTGAGCGGTTTAATTCCTATTGACTTCGTCAATCGTAACGTTACTTCTCAAAAGTTTATCTTGTCAGTATTGGGCTTACAAGATATCTTTGCGTCTCACACTTCCTTGCGCGGTTCTTTCGCAGAGATCTCAGGAACAACTTGCTTACTGGGTTTGACGGGGATTTTGATGGCAACGTCGATGCTAATATGTCTATCAGGTCAATATCTCCGCACAAAACGCTTATATCTAAAATGCTAGCTTTCCTTCTTTCTCAGCCTGAGCGGAAACTCGCGAGTTTGTACTCGAAACAGCCTGCCAACGCTCTGTTCCCCAGAACCTCCTGCTCTGCAGCAGATTGACACGGTTCGAGACAATGTTACGAACGTTTGCACATCGCAGATTTGTAATACCGGAAGCGAGATGATTCCGGCCTTGGCTTATGACGGCAAGTGCAGGTGTGCTGCTCCAATTCAGGTGCAATGCCGCTTGAAGAGTCCTGGCTTCACTTTCTTCTCTTTGTACCGTCAACAATTCTCGGATTACTTGGCAAGGAATCTAAGTTTGCTACCGAGCCAGGTGTTCGTCGACCAATCTCTATGGGAACCCGGCCCGAGGCTCTTCATTCTCGTGAAAATATTTCCTCCGGCGACCACCGATGCACCTAGAGACAGGGAGTTAAACTCTTCGGAAGTTCTACGAGTTTATGAGAGGTTCGCCGGGTGGAAGATCAAAGACAGTCCGATTTTTGGCCCTCGCGAGCTGATTGCTTTCATTGCCCCTGGCAACATAGGTACGAACCATTTATTAAAGTGTTCTCCTGCTAAAGCCTGGGTGTTTCCGATCAGACATTTTTGGATCTGGCTCGGGAGGCAAAAAGAAACACTTTTCCAAGGCTGTCTTGGCTGGAATTTTGGTTGGTGCTGTCCTAGCCACTGCACTAGTCGTGGGATTCACTGCCTTTAAGTATGCTTCGGGGCGTCGGTTCCTGGTATCACCATCGAAGAAAAGCCTTCGTAAGCGTGAGTTTGATTTAAATCCTCGAGTAATTTCGACTGATGGTGCTTCTCCCCCTCTTTTGTTTTTGGCACAGTTAGCAGAGGCACAACATCTGTCAAGATTGACAATGTGAAGGACTTTACTTTTCATGAGATGGGAGTGGCAACGGATTCATTCAGTGAAGCACGACAAATTGGCAAAGGTGGCTACGGCAAAGTTTACAAGGGAATTTTGGACGACAAGCAAGTGGTTGCTATAAAACGGGCGGACGAGGAGTCTCATCAGGGGGAGACAGAGTTCTTCACGGAAATCGAGCTTTTATCGCGCATCCACCATCGAAACCTCGTCTCTCTCGTCGGCTTCTGTGTCGATGGCCAAGAACAGGTTCGTTCTAGTAGTTTTTCATACTTAGTTTCTCTTTATACAGATGCTTGTGTACGAGTATATCGGAGGAGGGAATCTTTCTTCTCGCCTCGTTGGTAAGTTTGACGTGTTTGTTTGCCGCGATTAACTTCTTCTTGCTTCTTTCAGAAAAACCTCCATTGAACTTCAAAAGGCGTGTGTACATAGCGCTGGGAGCTGCGAGGGGCATCATGTATTTGCACACTGAAGCTGAGCCCCGGATAATTCACAGGGACATCAAAGGCACAAACATTCTCATCGGAGACAGGGACAATGCGAAAGTGGCCGACTTTGGCTTGTCAAAGCTTGCTCCGGACGAGGACGGCGATGGCGTTTTTGGCCAGCTCTCAACCGTAGTGAAGGGAACTCCGGTAGGTTGTGCTTCTTCGCGTGAGAAAGGAGGAAAGACAGTTCTCTTTTTGTTTCATGCATGCAGGGGTACCTGGATCCTGAATACTTCCTGACACGGAAACTGAGCGACAAGAGTGACATCTACAGCTTTGGAGTTGTCATGCTGGAGCTGGTCACGGGAAGGCAAGCAATCTCGCACGGGAAAAACTTAGTCAGAGAGGTAAGCCAAGATCTCTCTTTGGTTTCCTTGTTGCATTGAGCCGGCTTGCATTTCTTTTCTTTTCGTCAGGTTCGAGCTGCTTATGAAGCTGGAGTAGCCTTGTCAATCGTGGATCCGCTCATGGGACCATATCCGTCGGAAGCCATGGAGCCATTCGTGAGGCTAGCGCTGACATGCTGCGCGGACAATCCAGACGAGCGGTCTTCCATCCGGGGGGTGGTCCGAGACTTGGAAGACATATGGAAGGCAATGGCGAGCTGGGCTTACTCGTTCGACGACGATCACAGCCAGCCACTGGGGACCAAGTCGGGCGGGTTTGATGTGTCCGAGGGCGATGCCGTGGCTGGATCGTCGTCGTCCGCCCAGGTGGACGAGCTCGACGTACTCTCGACGAACAACATCGAGCTCGTGGCTCCAAGATAAGCTGATGGAATACTTATACTTGACATCATGGCTACGAAATTAAATCCTGGCCATTGAAGGCGATCACATTAGAATCATACGACTTAGAGAAGAACATAAGATCCACAAAAAAAAAATTTAAAAATGACATAAGGTTTATTCATAAGTTTTTTTCAATCAATCCTATGAAGATCGGGCCTAAATTATCTCTGATTCAAGCAAGAAATACATATGAGGAAAGTTTACACATTTATTTACGTGAACATGGGTGGCAGGATTCCCTGATGTAGTACAGACAAATCCATGGTACCGTGATACATGTGGGACTCCCTCCATGAATTTTGATCGCTGGAAAAATCATCACATTGTTTATGATTGTAAGAAACCATGTGAAATTTCTAGGCGCGAAACAATGGGCACAGCAGAGCTCCATCGCCATAGCGCGGCCCGATCTTCCCCGGCTTGAGCGCTCCCAGCTCCGCGAGCTTGTACCCCTTCTCGAAGCTCGGCGGGCGATACACATTGACGTTGAGCGGGCGGAGCTCCTCCGGGCGAGCTTCCGGGTTGGGGCTCCAGTCCACGTCGATGCTCCCCTTGGCCCCCGCGACGCTCCTGGGCGGCATGAAGATCGACACCATCGTGCCCGACAGGAGCTTGAGCGCCGACAGCACCGCCCACTCGACGATCGCGCGTGGCTTTGGCAGCCCGGTGGCGATCCGGATGCGCTCGCCGATGAGCGCGCAGATGCCCGTCTCCACCACCGGCTGGACGCGGCGCGGGAAGGAGTCGAGCACCAGGTGCTTGAGCTCCTGGACGATGGACTTGTTCTTCTCGTCGAATTTGGCGTACTTCTCCTCGAATTCGTCGATGTAGTCGCGCATCGCCTGGATGTTCTCCGGGATGTCTTTCAGTCCCATCCGGAGCCCAATGTCGTGCCAGAGCGTGTAGGACGCGAGCTCCTCGCGGGGCGTCCACGCCCGGAATCCAAACCTGCATTGATCAAACAATGTATACATGCATTGTGTGAGATCTATTCCAAGAACACCGGAAGAACACATCGAAAGAACCACTAACACTTACTCGCGGCAAAAATCCATGGGCTTGACGACGTTCAAGCAGAGCACATAGACAAACTCGTGATTTGGGATCTTGAATTGGGCGTGGATGCCATTCAATCTCCTCAGCGCGTAGGATCCACGGTCGCTATCGACGTGGTGGTGGAGGAACTCGCTCACCAAGATGTTGGTCTCGGCGGCGCGCTTCTGGGGATCCTTGAGCCCATACTTGGTCTTGTACAGGAGCTTGGTGATGGAGGGAATGCCCAGCGTTTGGATGGTGCCAAACTCGAGAGCTTTCTGGGAGAGAAATGGGAACTCCACCGCATAGAGATACCACACGATCTTGTGCGCATCTCTTACGGGATCTAGAGATGCTATAAACTCTGCTCGCTGGCGCCTCAGATGGATGCAAATTCCCTTGTATACAACCAAGACCAGTAGAGCAACACACCACAGCAGGGATCCTAGTTCCACCATAGCTTTGGATTTCCAATCTCTCTCTCTCTCTCCCAAGCTATGGGGATCTAAACTGAACCTCTATCCTCTCTCAAAACAAATTACCAAGGGCCAGCATTTATATCTCCCAGTCGGAGAGAATCTGCAATCCCACGGCCAAGATCAATACCACCATAAAGACCATCCTGAAAAGTTATAAATGCGATGCGCTAGGGTTTTATAAGACAAAAAGATGACGATGGAGGAATGCGAGCCGCTCGCTTGACCCTTTCTGGCGTATATGTTTTAAATCGCCCTTCCCTTGTCAATATTGATCGGCGAGATACTATAAAGAATAAATCACGAATATTCAAATATAATCTAGGATATACCTCAATCTAACCTTTATTATGGTTTAAACTTTCTCTATCTTAAACCAGCAGCCAAGTTCAAAACTCGATGACCTCCAAAGTAATGTAACTAAGCTAATACATAAAATATAATCATATTAACATAAGATTAACTTTGTATACTTATCATAATCTATTTGTATATATCTCACAATTATGATAAGCTAAATACCATAGGTTTCTATCCCCAATGCACAAGTTGCTATCAAGTGGGATTTAAAGCACATTTATCCCATCTAAATTTCTTTATACATTTCTTCATCGGACGACAAACAATCATGGTAATTGTCACTGTGGCATAATTGAACCCATCTGTCTCATGTTTCTTCAGAGTTGTTGCAAGACCTTGTAAGTAATATATAAATGAATGAATAAATAAATATTTTGCAATAGACTAAGTAGTGAAAGCTTACAAATAAATAATTAAAATAAGCTTTAAAATTTTTACTTTCAATGCCATTGGCACTACCACTATTACTAATCTTTATACCTTCAATATTCAACCATATCAGCTTGCTACATGTATCATGATTGTTAAATACATAACATTCAAAAACAAAATTTTATTTAGGAATAAAGAATAATTTTTGCTTAAAATAACATATCTTAAAGTAAACTTAGAAATCTATAAATTACCTCATATGGATAGAGTGGTGTTAATGTTAAGCTTATCCATAAAAGCCATGGTCTTTCTTAACTAAATTAGATGAAAAATTAACATATTTATAAGAGTAAAATAAAGAAAAATAAAGTCACCTGAAAATGATCATGAAATAAGTTTAGCTAATAAATTTTATAATGTTTCTAACATGAAACAACATGAATCTTAGCTGAAAGCATGTTATAACTTTGAAATTCATATCAATTAGAAATAAAATATACTAATAAAAAATGTTAAAATTAATAATTAACTATGGATCTATAACAAATATTGATTTTCTCAAAAAAATAAAAATAATAATCAATTTATGTATAAAAATAAACAAAAAAACATTACTCGATATAGATCATATATCACATTTTGCAAATGAATATAATAATGTCTCCAACTTAAATCAATTTAAATCACAAACATTCAGTAATTTGATTAAATATATTATAAAAACACATACATATATAGTCAATTAATTAGTAGGCAATGTATGTTATAAATTAATATATTTATGCACTTCAATATTAACAACAAAACATAAGTGTATTATCATACAGTTTATTTTAAGATTTTTACTATTATATTTAGAAATTATGGACTACACTATCACTAAACATTTAGTGTAATAATTATGATATTCACCAAAGTAAAAAATAGTATGATAATTATCAGAATACTAACACTTTATCATCATGAATTCAAGGAGTGTAAACTATTGCATTTAAACTTCATAGACTAACACTATTTAAACCTAAAAATATTTTAATTCATATATTTTAAAACCTTTAACCAATAAAAAAAGTACATTAATTATTTCTGAGATTTTAAATATATATATAAAATCTAATAGACTATCTTTCAAGCTCTTCAATTTAATTATTTAAAATGAGTTATAACAGTGGATACAATATAATTGTAATTAATTAATTAATTAATATTTAAATTTTTATAAAAATATATAGATAGGTGTGGGACATGAAAGTGCCTCCTTTTATAATCATACTTGGCAATTAATGTATATATAAAACGAAAATGTAATTATGTGATTAAATTTTTCTTTAAATCATAATCATAATATAATTATCTATCAAGTGATTAACTATAAGATGACTATATCCCTATTATATAAATGTTATGAGTAACATTAAAAGGAAAAAAGTCAACTCTTTGACTTAAATAAACCTTTATATACACCACAAATGGTATTGAACAAATATGGATTATAAATTTTGACTAATGAATAATGCAAGTGTGGAGCTAAAGTTTATGAAGTATTCATCCCAAGATCTTTTATTCCACTTACTTCTGGAAGAAACCCAAATAATAATCTAGACATGAGAAGGTAAAGTTTTTTTTTATAATGAAAAATATTACTCATTAAAAATAAAATACTTTTTAAGAAAACTGAAAATAAATAGTAATTAATTTATATAAATAAAGTGGTGCTAAAGTTGTGTTTATGAAAATAAAAATCATAACATTTCTCATCTCAAAAAGAAGAAGAACTAAGATATTTATATGAGTAAAATTAAATAATGAAGTTAATAATATTTCCAATATTTAGCAATTTCAATTTTATGAAATAGATAATATTATAAATAAATAACAATTTGAGATATCACACCAATTTGAAATAAAATATTATAGCATAAAATAAAAGTAATTAATAATTAATTAAAATCTTTTGTCCTTATGGATTAACACTATAACCTTTTTTAACAGAATAAAAATATTAATGTATTTATAAAACTAAACATGAAAATATAAAATAATTACTTTAATAAATCATGTTTATCATTAATACATGAACCCAAAAATATTTATATTATGCACTACAAATATCAAATTATTTTTGGTAATGGTTTAGAAATAATAATATTATTCTTGATTTCAACTATAATATCACTAATATATAGTAATTTGAATTTTTGAGGGCCAAGTGTATAGCTATGATATTGTATATTAATATTAGCATAGTAGGATATTAATAGCCATCAAATTGATTTTAATTTGGACCACTCACTCTTGTATATAAGCTAGGGTTTCTGGGCTAATTGATATGCATATTTTCTATATTCCCTTTCCATATTCCATGCACTCACATTAGTTGAGATGAAGGGCATTTTTTTATTGTCCCTGAGGAGTGCTTGGATTTGGGATTTTGGTTTAGATCTAGCTTTTGCATCGTTTAGATCTAATTTTTTCCATTTCCTTTCTTTTGTTCTTTCCTTTCAGGATTTTGGTTTCGATCTAGCTTTTTGCATTGTCTAGATCTCCCTTTTTTTCTAGCTTTTTGTTATTTCTCTTCTTTTGCTTTTTCCTTTTCGTTCATCTTCATGGCAAATCAGCAATCTCCTCCTTTGACTTTGGAGTAGCAATTAGTATAATTGCCGGATACTATGCGTTTGCAATTGAACAACTGAACTCAGTTGATGGCAACAATCACAACACGTGACCCAACTTCTCTTGCTTTTGGTGTTAATCCTCGCATTCAGCCGGAGTTCTTTCGTGGGAATCCTAGGGATGACGTGTACCATTGGTTTGATCACTTCACGATAATTGCCACATATCATTCTTAGGATGATGCTCGACGTTTATGTGAGTTTCGCATGTGTCTCAAAGCCATGGCACTGCAGTGGTACAATGGTTTGAATGCAACCACTCGTGGGGATTGGAGTGTTCTCCTAAACTTCCTCAAATGCGCATTCGGACATACTGATGATTGTGATGATGCCTTCCAGCAATTGCATCATCTTCGTCAAAGGCCATCTAAGTCAATGATGCAATTTGGTGATCATTTCCAAAGCCTCTTGTTTCGTGTGGAGCCAAATATGTCAAAGCGAATCAAGCTAGGCATGTTGTGGCCAACACTTCGTCAAAATCTTGTCGCACTTGTGCATGCATTTGCTCCAGCCACCTTTGACGGTGCTCTTTGCTTGGCACAACATTATGAGACGTTGCCTCTTCTAGTTTTTGTTGCTTGTCCTTTTGCTCCACTTCCAGTGGGTGATGGCCATGTTCCAATGGAGGTTGATGCTACTCCTACTCAAGTCCAAGGACAAGGCCAAGGGCATGGTCGTGGCCGTGACATTCATTGTTGGGCATGTGATGAAGTTGGTCACACTTATCAACGTTGTCAGCATTTTTCGGATTGGCAACCTCCATTTCCTGGGTGGAGACCTTGGCGTCAACAATGTTCTGTTAGTGCTGCTGCAATGGAAAGTCTGGACACTGAGATGCATCTGGGAAACAAGGAGTCACACAAGAAACAGAGGGACCTTGCGTGAATAAGTTAGTGACCCCTCTATCTTTCTTTCAGGTGTATCATCAAGGGGTTCACTTGGCACCAATTTATCTAGTATTTACTTTCCAAGTTCATTTTTATAATAAGCACCCTCCTATTATTCTCTCTTTGTTGGTTGATATAGATTTGAGTTTATCTTCTGTTGTTCGACATATTGCCACATGTTGCCATCTACATTTGTGTCGTGTGGTAGAACTAGTTTTCATTTTTTATGGCAAGAGCCATACACATGCATGTGTATGAGATGAGGCAAACTTGGTTGTGCATGTGGGCGATTTCGAGCTTGGGTTGTAGTCATAGCGGGTGGTGCCAAATCAAGCTTTTGACCTCATCCTTGGTATGGATTGGTTGTAGTGCAATTATGCCAAGTGTGACTTTGAGACTTCTCCCCCTTGTCTCATATTTTCTTATGTTTCATCTATTCCTCTCACTTCTGTACCTCTTCATCCCTTTATTTCTACCTCTGCTTCCATTACTTTTTTCCCCCCACTATTTCCTCCTATGTTTCCATTTGGTTCTACTATTTCCTTTTCTAATCCCTTTGAAAATCTTTATGCTACAGCGGTTGACTGGCTCATGAAAGAGTATTTTGATCTCTTTGAATTTGACTTATCGTCTAGGGCCAAGATTGCAACACATCATCTGATTCCAACCGGGGATGCTCGTCCAATCAAGGTTCATGTTCATCATCAGTCTCATGAGCTCAACCTCTTAGAGTCGTAAAATTTATTATCCACTCTCTTGATTACCTGTGTTGAGAGTGGCTTACAATCAAGAACACCCAAAGAGATCAAGATTTTACATGCAAACGTCAAAGAGATGTTGGAGAAGGGTGTTATTCGGAAGTCGCAGAGTTTTTGGGCATTTAAACCTCATCTTGTGACAAAGTCTTATGAGAGTATTCGTTTGTGCATTGACTATTGTTCGTTAAACAAAGTGACCATCCCGGATGTGTACCCTCTTCCTCACACTGCTGATCTTTTGGATCGTCTAGAGCGAAATCCTTGGTTCACCAAGCTAGATCTTGCTTTTAGATATTGGCAAGTACCGATGGCTAAAGAAGATATTTCTAAGACTACTTTTTGTACACTGTTTGATTTGTATGAGTTCTTAGTGATGCCATTTGGTTTAAATAATGGTTTTGCAACTTTTTAGCGGATGATGGACAAGATTCTTTGCAATATGCCAGAAGTGATTGCTGACTTCATTAATGATATCTTGATCCACTTAGTGGGGACATGGAAGAAGCATGTTTGTGATGTTTGTAAAGTGTTGGATGGGCTATGGGACGTTAGTTTAAAGCTGAAGCGGTCAAAGTGCATGTTTAGGTTTAAGGACACAACTTATCTTGGGTATTGTATTTCTCGTGAGGGTTTGCAAATTGATCTTGAAAAACTTGTGGCTATTCTAAAGTTCCCTACTCCGAAAAGTGTGAATGATGTGCAATGCTTCTTGGGCAAGGTGTAGTATCTTAATCGTTTTGTGGATCATCTTTTTAATCCCACTGCACCGTTGCAAGTGTTGCTGAAGTCATTAACGTCATTTTTCATCTGGTCTCTGGATTGTGAGTGGGCATTCATGGATCTCAAAGAGCTCTTGACAACTCCTCTGGTTTTGGCATATCTTGACCACACTCGACCTTTTATTTTGTGCATGGATGCTTCTGATATTGGTCTTGGAGGTGTGTTGATGCAAAAGAGCCTGAGTGTGCCTGGTCAGTGCCATCCCATTGCGTCTATAAGCTGTATATTACAACCAGCAGAGGTGAATTACTCCACAATAGAGGAGTGTTTAGCAGCAATCTAGGGTTTCGAGAAACTTCATGCATATCTACATGGTTCTCGGACATTGAAAGTGATCATGCTACCGTTACTTCATTATTGAAGCGAAAGAATCTGATTGGTCATACTACTCGATAGGTTTTGAAGCTTCAGATATATGATTTTGATGTTGTTCATCGCCCTGGGAGTGCTATGGCTGATGCTGATGCCCTTTCTCAAGCTCTTTTTCCTTCTCTACTCTCTTTTCATATTTTTGGCAAGCCTATTGTTCTGGCATCTATGGATTTTCTAGATGAGGATTTTGTACCATCGATGGTTACTGTACTTGATGTTTAGTATCCACAAAGTGCAAAGCAATATCTACCTTTTCTTGATGAGGTTCTCGAGGCTCAAAAGCTTGAGCCATGGATTTTAAGGTTTCGAAATGGGTTTGAGAATTTTGTATCACTTGCTGATGACTTGCCATTCCAACATTTATATTCTCAATATTGCTTTGAAGATGGCCTTCTTTATTTTGTGGGGACGAATCTTAATGATCCTTTACAGCTGGTGGTGCCTTCCACCTTTATTTCACGGTTTCTCCATACTTACCATGATTCTCCTGTTCTAGGTGGGCATATGGGACATCGTCACATGTGACCGAGAAGCTACACAGATCTTTCTATTGGCCGGAAATGCAACGTGATGTTATCCAGTATGTGCATAGTTGCATTTGGTGCCAAGCTCATAATACTCCCCCTCATGCTGCGGAAGGACAGTTGGAGTCAATTACAGTTTCCCATCCATTTGAGTTTGTAGCATTTGGTTTTATAGGACCTTTTCCACTGACTGTTGGTAATGAATATGTTGTTATTGCTTCTAACTATTTGACTCGTTGGGTGGAAGTTAAAGCTCTTGCTAGTGCCTCTACAATTGCTATTGGATACTTCCTCCTTAATCGAGTGGTGTTCCAGCATTCTTGTCCAAAGTGGATTCTTTCGGATAATGGTCCCGCATTTATGGTTGAGGCATTTCATGTTTTGATGTCTCGGTTGGGGATACGCCACACTTTCACGAGTGCTTATCATCCACAATCAAATAGTCTGGTGAAACAGCTTGTTCAGACGTTCAAAGAAATGATCACGAAGTATGTGAACTTTCAACATTCAGGTTTACTTTCGCGATTGCCACGAGCTGCCGATGCTAGGTCGTGGGATCAATATTTGACGAGCATTTTTCCACATATCCAAGCAGAGTTTGCCAAACACTTAGACCACGTACAAGTGGGACAACAACGGTGCTACAACTTCTATCATCGTCCACTTACGGAGTACAAAGTGGATGACTTAGTGTTAGTCTGTTTTCCCCATCTTACGGTATGTGGTTTATCTAAGGGGCTCCTTGCTTAGTGGAAAAACCGTATCGGGTGTTGTAACAAGTTGGACCACAAGTTTATGAAGTTCAGCATAACATCCAACAAGCCGATCCTCTAGAGATTGTGCATGTGTAGTGGTTGAAACGTTTCATACCAAGGGATCAAGAATAGTTAATACCACCTACAGATCTAGTAATGCCTCCTCCTGATGTTCTTCCCGATCCCAGCCCATTTATAAAAGAACCCTGATGGTCTTCCATTATTTTGAGAGGAGGGGATGATGTGAGGGCCAAGTGTATGGCTATGATGCCATATACTAATATTAGTATAGTAGGGTTTTGGTAGTCATTTGATTGATTTCAATTTGGGCCGCTTGTTCCTGTATATAAAGTAGGGTTTTTGGGCTAATTGATATGCACATTTTCTGTATTCCCTTTCCATATTCCATGCACTCACAAATTAAATATATTATAAATATATAAACAGTGATATATATATCTGTGTGTGTATATGTATATACATATGTATATATCTGTCTCTATCAAGCACTGCAAATCCTCTCTTCATAATTTTTACCACTTGACAAATTAATTAATTTAGCATCCCACTACTTTTATATGACAAATTTAAAAGGATATCAAGTTATAATTAAATCAAAATATTAAATTACAGTATCTAATAGTCCATTATCTCTAGAGAAAATAATAATACCTTGGTAATAAATCAATAAATCTTTAGCCTTAGTTTCCGGTTAGTCGCTAATTTCCACCTAATTAATCTACACCGCTCCAAATGTACATATAAGTAAAACGCCGGTGCTGGAGAAGAGTGGAAGCTCGCCGCCCCGCCACTTCGCTGCCATGGAGGAGGCGACAATCACTCTCGCCGCCCTTTCCACCTCGCTCCTTCTCTTGTTTCTCGCGTCCCTCGAGACCATCCGCGCAGCCGAAGCTCCTCAAGTCCCAGCATTCTTCGTCTTTGGCGATTCCCTGGTCGACTCTGGCAATAACAAGTTCCTCCAGTCGCTCTCCCAGGCCAATCACTCCCACAACGGCATCGACTTCCAGGGCAGCGTTGCAACCGGACGCTTCTGCAATGGCCTCACCGTGACCGACGTTGTTGGTAAGCGCCGAGTAGCACTAAATAGTATCGTCAGCGCTACCATCCTCCTAACTTCCACCCTGTGCTGCCTTGTCTCCTTTCCCAACAGCCCAGGAGCTTGGACTTCCATTGGCACCGCCGTATCTGGATCCAAGCACCAACGGGACTGCCATCCTCAAAGGTGTCAACTACGCGTCCGGCGGAGCTGGTGTTCTCGACGAGACCGGCCTCTACTTCGTAAGATTTCTTCGATCGCTTTTGCTGCTCAACCTGTTTGGTCCTTTGCCTGGCTTTCGCAGCTGCAGAGGCTGCCCCTTGGAAAGCAGATTGAGTACTACGGCAACACCCGGTCCCAGATCATCGGCTTGCTCGGACAAAAGGCGGCGTCCCAGATGCTCTCCAAGTCTATTTTCTGCTTTGTCATCGGCTCCAATGACTACCTCAACAATTACGTTGCGCCTGTCACTGCCACGCCTCTTATGTACACCCCCCAGCAGTTCCAAGTCCGCCTAGTCTCCACGTACAAAAAGCTCCTGACTGTAAGAAGCTTCTGCCTCCTTGTTGGATTTTTCGAGAGTTCTCGCTCATCTCGGTCTCCCCGCTTCTTTACCAGGATGCGTACAAGCTGGACGCCCGCAAGTTCATCATCGCAGGAGCGGGTCCAATAGGCTGCATTCCATATCAGCTCACGGTCAACTTCCAAAGAAACAGTACCTGTGCTCCCCAACCCAACGAACTGGTTCTTAACTTCAACAAGGCGCTGAGGCAGACTGTTTTCGATCTCAACAGGCAGTTTCCGGATGCCAAGTTCGTCTATGTCAACACTTATGACACCGTCACCACCGTCATAAAAAACCCGGGGAAATACGGTAGGAGCTTCGCCATGCTTGTGAAGTTTTGAAGTTTCTGAGCTGAATGTTCCTCCCCCTTGCAGGATTTGCAAACAGCGACACGGCCTGCTGTGGCACTGGTGGCCCGTACAGAGGTCTGATCTCATGCATCCCTTCCGTCTCGGTTTGCTCCAACAGGACGGAACATTTTTTCTGGGATCCATACCATACTTCGGAGGCCGCAAATTACGTGCTTGGAAAAGGAATCCTGGAAGGGGATCAGTCTGTAGTTGAGCCCATAAACGTTCGGCAGCTAGCTCGTTTGTAACTGAGCTCTGCTGGAAACTCCTCTTGCATTTTCAAACTGTACACAATCTCCTAGCAATTCATTTTAATTCTTGAATCATAAGATTACCTCGAATGATTACTTCTTCTGTACAGACTCCTTCGCTTGTTTTATGAGTTGGTCGACAAAACTGTCTATAGTATTGTACCACTGACCCAAGGCCTCCTCTAATCGGGCCTTACCCTTCTCATTTGTCAGCGCGTTTCCGTCAACAGCGCAACCTGGAATTGCGGAAGTAAAGTCAGTCGTTGCTAGTGAAAGAATAAACATACCTGCTTCATTGAAGACTTTGCCAACTCGTTTTTTCATCTCGTTTATAATAAGTATGTACTCTTCATCTTCAAAATCTAGCTCTTTCAAAAGGCTAGATATCTTGTCCATTATTGCCTCCATGCCAACTTTCTTTTTTGCGTCTGGATCGATTGGAGCACTTTCGATATTTAGGTCAAAAGGCTTAGGCGAGGCTTTGATGGTGTCCATTTCCTGAAAATGTGAATTGTCCCAAATCTGCCCAAAAGGAACTGTAAGACAACTTACATTGACAAGCTCGTTCATCCTGGCAATAATTGCAACATTCTTTTGCTGCAACTCCTTGACTGCTTGTACCATCCCGTAAACACTATCAATCCCCAAGATGTCTTGAATGTTTGAGATCGACTTCACATCAATCCACTGCCTAAAATACTCGCTGCAATCCATAGGCTCTTTACGTTCTTCCGTCTGTAGAACATGACAGAAATGCATAAGTTTCAAGTCATAAGTCATGAATCCCATACCGATCTCGGTTGAACGTGCAAGAAGTTTTCTACAGGCTCTGGTTCCATGACAGCCCAACCCTTCGAAGCTTCCCACATTTTGTAAGCCTCCATGTCTCCGTGCATCTCCAAGACATCTGGAAAGGTCATAACGTTAGGAGCGTGAGTTTAGAAACTTGACAATGGCTGAAGTTGCAACATAAGTGAAATACTCAACGGGGTTATAAACCTGTGAAACGCTCCTCAATGTCATTTCTCTCGTCGTATAACAAGCTGCTAAGCTCGATGCATTTCTCCATCTCCTTCTCCTTCCACTGAAGCTCCTTCTCGAGCTTCAAACGGATGTCGTCGAAAAGTTCGCGCTCCTCCCTGATTTCCTCCATCTTTCTCTTCAGATTCCTATTTTGCCTTTCCACAATATTCAGATCAACGAGTACCTGAAACCAAAATAATGTAAGACTACCATGGTGTCACTAGATACCTTGTGAATCCGGTTCTCCGTTATCTGTATATGGATCAAAGCATTGCGATGCCTGTCACGAGCTGCATGTACTCCTCCTTGTGTTCTTTTGTAATCCAGTTTGTCGGCTTTGGATTTTTCAACCGCAAGTTCCAGCTCCTCGAGCCTCTTTGCTTCGTGCTCAACGAGTTCGCCAAACTTAGCTGCGTCCTCGTGGAGCTGAGCCATTTGAAGCTCATAGTTCTGCAAAGACGAGCAAATACGATTGATAAACCAACGAGGAAAGCATACTTACTGGTATGAAGTAACTATCGACATTCTCTCGCAACGACTGATTATCAGTCCTGATATTCGCAAGCGTGGCCTCTTGCCGTCTGAGAATCCCCTCGCTCTCGCCATGATAGATGCGACGAGTTCCTTCGATGATCCGATATTTCTTGTGGACGTCTTTAAGCTGCGTATACTCAAACGAATCATTCATTGCGAAATTTTTTCCAAGAGTACCCGCTGCTGATTTGAGAACTCCCCATTGGAGCTTCCAGACGATCCAGGCACTGGCGATGGCACCGGCGACGGTGTAAACCGCGCCGGCGAAGGAGTTTGTCCTCGCATTCCTCCTATAACGATCCCTTCCTGCGAAGGCTCATCAAAGAATGTCGAATTCTGGACAAGATCGTAGAATCGAGAAGAGTTATCTAAACGGCGCTTACAGTATCATCACCTACAGGCACTTTGAAGGCGGTCGACCGAGCGCCAGTGAGCTCATGGGCGCGCGCCCTAGCTGGAAGGGAAGAACCCTATTTTCACAGGTTGTTCGCTGACGTGCTTGCGCGCCAAAAGCTGACTGTGTATTATTTCAAACATAACAACGATTAGCGATGGTCGATTAAGAGTAATCCGTTTCTTTTATTTCTAAAACCCTCGCCTCTGGCCATTTCCATTACTCCCGTCTTCCTTCTCTTGGCGGAGCGGCGCGGCTTCCTTGGATTCCTGGTACGCACCGCATTCTCCAAGCTCTGTGTGGATTCTCGATCGCGATAGGAATGCGATCGTCTTCCGCCGCGCGCTGGAAATCTTCTTTGCATGCGAGATTTCTCCTCTCTTTTCTTCGCGATCTTGCCGACCGAGGCCGGGAAACGCCATAGCATCGGCGCCTTGTGCTCGGATCGATCGCTCTGTCTCTCCGGATGAAGATCCTCTCTTTCTCGCGAAATATCGAAATATGGAGCTAATCTTTGGGAATTTCCAGGTCGTTCGATCGCAATGAACGCGCTCTTCCTCCCGGGGATTGTCCTCATGTGGTCGCTGCTGCCGCCTTGCTCCAGCAAGCAAGTGCTCAAGGTAGGGGGCGAGATCGGCTGGACGCAATTCAACATCTTTAGCGGCCAGACTCCCGACTACGCTGCCTGGGCATCCAAGACCACTCTCGTCCCAGGGGATGACATCGGTATGTGAAACTTAACTCTCGCAACAAAACGATTCATCGATACGAAGTTTCTAAAAGACCTAGCAGTCTTCCTGTTTTTTCCACAGCTCCACAACATTCACATGTTCCGGAACCATAGCGAGTACGTGAATTGCAACTTCACCGAGAGCACGCTCCTCGACGAAGGGCTTTCCGGCGTGTATACTGTAAGTTCTTTCGATTTGGAGTTCTTTTTGTCGCAGGACTTAAGTATACGTGATTGATCGGGAACTGATTTTTCGTTTTTCTTCTTGTTGATAGTGGACTGCTCCAGCGCCTGGAACTTACTACTTCGGATGCAGCAAGGACTACTACTCACACTGCCAGCTGGGCCAGAAGTTCGCGATCACAGTGGTGGAGCAGTCATCCTTGATCCATCTTCCTCCGGCCGGAAGCCCAGCAGCTGCCGCGGCATCTCCCTCGGACGATTCAAGTCCAGCTGACAATGGTTGCGCCACCGCTTCCAGCGACGATGACGACGACGACACTTCCCATGACTCCGACAGTTCGTGCTCGCCATGGGTGGACAGTCCACCAGATGACACCCCAGTTCTCTCGCCGGTGAGCGCTCGCCACCATCCGGACGCGTCCGTGAATCCTCGACGAGTCCCGGATTTCGGCACGAACACCAAGCGTCGTCCTCCGCCCCGCTCGTCTTCGGTAAGCTTCCAAAGTTTTTTGCGATCGATGGATCGATCATCAAGATTTTTCGTTTCTTCCAGGCTCGCGAGTTTCACGCCCGCGCTTATGCCATTCGAGGCTTGATCGTCTTCGTCCTCAACCTCGTCCTCTAGGAAGTCCGCGCTAAAGAAAAACTGGGAAGAATTTTGACCGTCTGTTCGTATGGAGAATATGCGTCAACGTGTTAGAGGATATGCTCCACGTAGAATATACTATGTAGATTCGCGGGAGGTCACTTTGATCCTCGTCCCATGACAGGAACCAACGAACCTGTCTAATAACGAACAATTTGCTTTATTCCATTCTTAACAGGGACCATTCGTTTCCTTTCCTTTGCGCAAGAGCTCACATTTTCTCCCCGGGAGGAAATTTTTTAGGCTTTGGCGCTCTGGTTCTTTTGGGGCAAGAAAGAAAGAGATTGAGAGCGATCGAATGCGGCAGGGAGGATCGGCCTTCTTGATCTTGGAGCAAGAAAGGAGGAGGATCATCCGGCCGGGGCCGCGCGATCAAATGCCGGGGAGATCGAGGTCAGCGCCAAGAAGAGCTTGCAGCTCTTCGTACCCCCCTTTTTCTCCTCTGGTGCTCTCGATCGCGCTCACGCTTGTCACGGCGATGAGACTTGGATCGTCGTCGGCGGTGGGATTTGGGGTGAACTGGGGAAATATGGCATCGCACAGGCTCCCCGCGGAGGTTGTGCTGCGAATGCTCAGCTCCAGCAATATCACCAAGCTCAAGCTCTTCGATGCCGACTCGAAGATCGTCGGTATGTTTGCCAACAGCGATGTGGAGCTCATGGTCGGGATTCCAAACGAAATGCTGGACAAGATCGCGAACAGCCCCCGGGCGGCGCTGGATTGGGTCAAGGAGAATGTGACCCAGCATCTCCCCGAGGTGAAAATCAGGTACTCTTTTCTTCCAAGATCAAAGTAGCGGTTATTTTTCTTTCTTTCTTTTTTCCTTCTTCGTTGCATGCTGGGGTTTGTTCCTATATTTTTTCGTGGTTTTGATGTTTCCTTACTGCATGGTCGCGGTTTGATCGTAGACACGAGTGATGGATATTAAATTTTAGTTTTTTTCTCTCTCTTCACCGATCGATCAATCGATCGAAAACTTGCTAACTTCTTTGCTCTTTTTTTTCTTTCGTTCCAGATATGTGGCAGTCGGGAACGAGCCCTTTCTCAAGGCATACAACGCAACTTATGAATCCGTCACCCTCCCAGCGCTCAGAAACATCCAAGGAGCGCTGGACAAGCTCAACTCAGCGGAGCCGATCAAGGCGGTGGTTCCTCTTAACGCCGACGTTCTCAGCGATGGCGGCTCCCCCTTACCATCGGCGGGACTGTTCCGGCCCGACATCCAGCCGCTCATGGACACGCTCGTCTTAACTCTCGCCAAGCACCAAGCTCCCTTCGTCGTCAACATATACCCGTTCCTCAGCCTCCACCAGGATCCACACTTCCCGCAAGAGTTCGCGTTCTTCGACGGCAGCAACACCGGCGCTGCCGCCATCCACGACTTCAATGGCAACACCTACACAAACGTCTTTGACGCGAGCTACGATCTCCTGGTTGCAGCGCTCAACAGGAACGGCTTCCCGGACATGAAGATCATCGTTGGAGAGGTCGGGTGGCCGACGGACGGGGACGTGAACGCGAATCCAGCCAACGCGCAGCGCTTCAATCAGGGGCTTCTCGCGCACATCACCAGCGGCAGGGGGACGCCGCTCCGGCCCAACCAGGAGCTCGACGTTTACCTCTTCGCGCTCATCGACGAAGATCAAAAGAGCATCCTTCCCGGCAACTTTGAGCGGCACTGGGGGATATACACTTACGACGGCCGAGCAAAGTACGAGCTGGACGTGCTGGGAACAGGCCTCGCCAACTTTTCCAGCGACGTCCAGTACTTGCCGTGGCGGTGGTGCGTGCTCAATCCCGAGGGCGACATGACCAAGCTCGCCAAGAGCGTCGACTACGCTTGCTCGCACGGTGACTGCACAGCGCTCGTCTATGGCGGCTCTTGCAACCACATTGGCGATCAAGGCAACGCCTCGTACGCTTTCAACAGCTACTACCAGATCAATAACCAGGAGGAGGAGAGCTGCGTCTTTGACGGGCTGGGGATGATCACCACTGCGAATCCATCCACCGGGGGCTGCGAGTTTCCCGTCCAGCTCAATCCGCTCGCCTCGTCCTCGACGTCTTCCACCGCGACGCTCATGTCCTCCGAGAGCAGCAGCGTCGGGCAGTCGATGCTCCTGGCGCTGCTCCTGGCAATCGCGCAGCTGGTGCTGGATTTCGACAAGCTTGCGTCGGGATGGATTTCATCGAGGAGGAAGAAATCCAAGCTTTCGAAGTTGACGACTAACGGGCAGACTACGATCACGAAGACGAAGAAGCCCGGCATTTGCAGGATATACTAGGTATCTTCTATAGAGAAGATTGTCATGCTAAACAAATGGAAGATGACACTTGACATGATTATCACGCAAAAGTTTTGATGAGATTTTCGAATCTTCTAAAGGTAAATGTTAGCTCAAACACAATGGAAGATTTTTTAACCTTCTAAAGGTATCTTTAAGCTCATGGATTATATAGTTAAGTTTGATCAAGACTAATATTAACTCAAACGATTGATTGGTGGTCACTGGATAAGAGTAACATCCACGCAAGGCGGGACCATTTCCACGTAGCGTGCCGCCAGCGTACGGTACAAATTGCTACGTCACTAACGTGTCGAGACTCCGCTACTGTACGCGCACGTGTCGCCACATATATGGCCAGAATTTATTTCTCTGCTATCTTTAACTAATAAACGTTGGCCCGCGTTACGAGAATCCCCCTAATTTTAGCGGCTTCGGCTTATCCACAGGAATATGCCTTCGAGCTTATCCAGTTTTACCCCAGTTTGTGGGCGTTTGGGTAAACTCAAACCCTTTTCGGCCCTTTTTCTTGGCAGAGTATATAAGCACGAGAGGAGTGATGCCTTTCTAGGGCAACGATTTCCTTGCGTTGTGTCGATCGAGAGAGGGAAAGCGAAGCGAGCGAATTTGCGTGAGAAGAAAGAGGGCAAGGCGAATGGCGACGGCGGCGGTGGGTTCTTCCCAATTCTCGGGGATGGATGTCTCTCGGACGATCCAAACCCCGCAACAGCAGCAGCCCCGGCAGGGATGGAGGAATGGGCGGTCGAATTTGCGGCTGCGGGCGTCGGCGGCGGCGAGCGCGAGGTATGGATCATCGCCGGTGGCCCCCTGCGAGTCCTACTCGATGCTGGGCATCCGGCCGGGCGATTCCAAGCAGGATCTCAAGCGCGCCTACCGGAGGCTCGCGCTCCAGTATCATCCGGATGTTTGCAAGGGCGATCACTGCGCGCCCAAGTTCCAGGAGATCAACGCGGCGTACGAGCTCCTCCAGAAGATCATGGACGGGAGCGCCGTGGCCGCCCCGGTGGACGATCGCTACTACTACAGCGACGACGAGGAGGATTTGGAGGAGTACAAGTCGGGGTGGGAGGGCGCGTGGGTGTTTTGATCCCGGCGACTTTCCCCCTTTATTCTTCTTCTCGATCGATCGTCTCGTGTAAATAGGGAGGGACGGGAAGATCTCTGTACAGTGGGGGCTATCGGAATTTTTTAGGCAGCCAGGAAGAACAACTTTGCTTGTATAGAAACACACCAAAAAGACTTGGAATCGAAGGAAGGAAACCAAGAAAGAAATTTCTTTCTCTTATTAGGTTATCTGTCTAGAACACTTCGATTGAATGACGAGAACTCTTTGATTGATTGAAAGGTCGCTATCTTTCTTTTTCTCTTTTGGTTTAAGTTATCCCTTGGGATGGGGACAAAAGATCCACGTATATGAAAGACTGGGTTCCCACGCTGCCGTGTGTTTAGACCACACGGAATAAAGACTTGATCAACAGAGGAAAACGTGGACAACGTTTAGCACTTCCAAATATTCTGTTTGTAGCGTTATGTTCTATCTGTTAAAAAAGACACGAGAAAAAAGCAAACAAAAACGGAAAAAGATAATATATATAGTGGAATTAGCTGTATCCTGCTTTGAAAGGACCAAGCAAACTATTGGAACTTAGCAAAGTTTAACTGGCCAGAAATCAAAGAGATAATTTACACTATATTTTTAAAATATTGGACTCACTTAATCTCGAGCCACATTTTTCTTAAGAATGATAGACATGAGCAAAGTAAAAGTTTTACTATATTCTTGTAATCATTTTGAAGGTCATTTACTGGTTGCAAACCTTAATATTTGCAGTGACCTGATAGTTCATGCCACCCAGTGAAGCCTCAGTCACGGTTCCAGTTGCTCCAACATAAATCCCAGTGCCGCCAAGAATCGCATATGTGGTGGAAGAACCTGGTGCAGAACCTCCGGCATCTCCCATGAACTCCACCCGGTTGTTCCCACACTTGATCTGGGAAACCAGGAATTCCAGAGCTCCAGTGTCGGCGATCACACCTTGGTAGATGCATCTGGAGTTTCCACTAAGAGGAGCAGCAAATGTTTGGACGGAGCCATCGCGATCCATCACACCAGTGGTTGGAACACCATCGGTTGGAACAACTTGGAACTCGTTTTGGCCAAGAACAAACTGGGCAGAACCTTGGATGGTGTAGCTCTTGCACTGGAATAGAAGATTTAGAATCTATTGCAATTTGGACTTTACAATACTTACCAAGTTTGCGGATGCATAAGAAGCAAAGAGAGCAACAGCGAGGGCCAAAACAAGCGCAACCTGGGATGCCATTACAACTGAAAAAGCAACCTTTAAACTTGGGTATGTATATTAGTGTGGGAAGAAAATAAAATCTTTACATTGGTGAAGCTAACCTTACCAAGTTGATTGACAAAAAGAAACTTCTGATTGCCAATCAGAACCAATCATAGGAAAATGATACATTGAATGTCTGAAGATATTCTTTTAGCATATTCTGTTAAGTTTTAAAGCTACTGTGAAATGTCTGGCCTTTGCTCCGATTCCGGGACTTCCTCGACACGGATAAAGACCCGGTAACTACTTTGAACTTTTTTCTTTCTTCTATTTTTCTAGTAATTCTATGCAGTGCTCGCCTCAGAAATGAATCTCGAACGTACACGATTGTCGTATTGGTGCAATCGGATGGTTTTCCCACGCTCTTGTTTTTTCCCGCTAACAAGAAGAGCTTGACCCGGTAAGCAGCGATGAAACTGGAGAATGAGATTCCGGAACTGCCTGATGCGATCAGTCCAGTCTTTCCAGATGACGAGGAAGAGTCTTGAACTGATGCAAATCAAACTCTGGAGGAACGTGTTTTGTTTCTAGTTAACTGTCTTCTCATTCATGAAGACTTCTGAGCAGGACGATGAGATGAGCTTAGTCAGGGAGATTGTCAATTCTCTTTCGGCTCCTGCTCTACCTGGTATGCATTGTTTCTCTGCATTCATTCACCAACAGCACACTTTCAACTGCAGGGTTACTGACTACGACCTTGTCTGGTACTTTCAGCTCCTTTCTTTCTTCTGTTTTTCTAGTTATTTTTATGCAGTGATCGAGGAAATGAAACTCGAGTGCGAGAATTGAACTGCCTGATTTGTTCAGTCCCATGTTCCCAGATGACGAGGAAGAGGAGTTAGAACCTGCACCCGATGCAAATCAAACTCTGGAGGTGCTTTTATTCTTTCAATTCTCATTCATGAACAGGACAATGAGATGAACTTAGTAGTGAGGGAGATTGTGAGTTCTTTCCAGGCTCCTGCTAGACCCTGGTACATATGCATTGTTGCTCAGCATTCATTTGCCAGCACTCTTTTCAACTGCAGGTTTACTGACTAGACATTGTTCAACTTCCAAACTGATGAGTCTCAGATAATCAGATTGCTCTTACAGGCTCTTTGGTGTGCACTCGGATTTTGGAGCGGCCGTGCTACACTGATCTTCGTAAGAGGAGGAGAAGTAAGAACAGATTGGTTTTGCTGTTGAGGGTGCCTGGGATTGGCAAGAGCGCCTTTCTCATTACAACTCTACCCCCATCTGAAGTAGGTCAGGAAGGCGGTGGCGTTTCAGAATAAGAGTGGTCATCTCTATCTCTTTGAACCGCAGCACACTGAGAAGATGGCATGTATTGGTGCATGTATTGGCGCGAGGGCTACAGATGTTTCGCCCTTGAGCAGCATCCACACCAGAAGCTGGTCGATCCTCCAGCATTCAAATGCAAAGGTTCTATTGGCAGCCAGCCCAAAGTTGACGGACTTTCAGGAGTTTGATAAGGATGGCCGCACTCAGCACGTGTTTCTACCGATTTGGTCTGCTGCCGAGATTGCTCTGGCTTGGCAGGAAGTATTTGATCCTGTCCATTTCATGGCTGAGTTATCCCACTCCCAGGATGAAGTCGGAAAGCTCGAGTTTGAAGCAATAAAAGAGTTTGACACTCGAGGTGGTGAAGGAAAGGCACCAGAAATGGGGGAAGGCTCGGCCCGGTTTGTGTTGGAGAGGCCGCACATTGACCTGGATTCCTTGGTCGCTGGCTTGATTTCTGTTCAGCAGACAGTAGAGGCAATAGGGAAGCGGATCATAGACGGTGATCACCCGTCTCACAAGATGGTGCATGTTTGCGTCTCCATACCTCGTTGATGCAACGGCGAAGAAACTCAACGAGTCTAGGGAGCTGAGTACGTTCCTGAGCTTCAAGACCATGGATGCAAGTGCCACATTTTCCAGAACGAGCTAAAGATCAAGTGAGCCCAAGCTGTGAACAAGTGTAGCGGAATGTTTGAAAGTGATGGAGCACAGAAGTATAGCTACCTCGTTGGAACTTTATCAGGAAGTATTGGCTAGAAGCAAATTGTCAATGAAAGTCAATGAAAAATCTTTGATTGCTATTTTATGGTCAATGAATGTCAATGGTCCTCTTATTATTCTCTTGCATATTCTGTTAAGGCTATCTTAAATCTAGCAAATTCGGCTACAGTTAGTTAGGTCTAGGGTTGAGGGTTTTGTGCCGCGATTTCTAGGGCTCGAGAGGGCGAGGGGCGAGCGGCGAGAGAGAGACAGCCATGGCGACGCCGGATCACGCGCGCGAGCCGTGCCCGGACCGCATCCTCGACGACATTGGCGGCGCATTCAGCATGGGCGCCATCGGCGGCTCGGTCTACCACTTCATCCGCGGCGTCTACAACTCCCCGCGAGGTGAGCGCCTGCTGGGCGGCGCGCAGGGCGTGCGCATGAACGCGCCTCGCGTCGGCGGTAGCTTCGCCGTCTGGGGCGGCCTCTTCTCCACCTTCGATTGCACCATGGTCTACTTGCGCCAGAAGGAGGACCCCTGGAACTCCATCGCCGCGGGTGCCGCCACCGGCGGCTTCCTCCAGCTGCGAGCCGGGATGAAGAGCGCCACCAGGTCGGCGATCTTTGGCGGCGTGCTGCTCGCGCTCATCGAGGGCGCGGGGCTGATGCTCAACCGGATGATGACGCCGCCGCCGCCACCCATGGAGGAGCCAATTCCACAGACCGGGCCGCCCTCCTCCGGTATCTTCCCATTTCCAGCTCCGAACACTGCGGGGATGGGTGGCCAGTTTCCTTCTTCTCCAGGTGGTGGTAGCGGTGGTGGTGGTGGCGCCAGCGATGGTTCTTCGTCTTCCTCGGGCTCTAGTTCTTGGTACTCGGGATGGTTTGGAGGGACGAAGGAGGAACCCAAGCCTTACAACGAGAAGCTGGACAGTTTTGAGGCGAATCCACCCCCGCCGATGCCCGGCTTCGAGGTGAAGTGAGCGAGGGAGATCTGGCGTGGACGTGTACATGCAAGGACTTCGCGAGGTACTTCTCTTTTGTTCTTGTTTAGAAGTGAGATTTGCTTCCAAGTTTTGCCTTGAGAGTTTCTCGAGGTTGCAAGGACTTGATCTTCGTGAGATTTCCTTCCATAGAGATTTTCTCAAGTTTGCGAGGACTTGATCTTTGGAAGTGTGGCTTTCCTCTCTATCTTTGTTTACTCAGAGTTAGTTACACTGTAGACTAAAAGTTTTTTTTTTTTGTTCTCCTTCGTACACTGTAGATTAAACGTCTCGAGTGTTTCCAGTTTTTTTTTTAATTCAAGAGGACTGTTCCTTTGTGTTACTCTTGCACGGTACTGACTGTGATTCGTTTACAGATGGCTCGTGGTCCGGTCAGCTTGGCCTCGTGAGTGATGCGGTCTCAAGTCGTGTGTTCTCTTATTTCATTTTTACTTCCATCGTGGAATACTTTAAACTCTGTTCTTGCTCTTCCTCCTCTCTTTCTCTCCCCTCTGTTCTTTAGTGTCGGCTTTGTATGCTTCGACTGTCGTGTTGTTGCAGGCGCGCCATGCTACGCGATAGCGAAAGCCCAGCAGCAGGTTTTGTATATCATTCTACCATGGTTTTGATCGGTTTTTCTAACTGAAGCATGTTTTCCGCGTGCTTTTCCAGGAGAAGAAAAGGACGAAACTTCTGGTGGCCGGGTCAGTGCTGGTGGGTCTCGGTCGTACTGCCCACGTTTTTGAACAGGCAACGGGTGCTACAAAAGGCAGCGGAGCCCCCTTTTCTTCCTCAGCAGCCAAAGCTGCAAATCTTTCGGAGGGAAGACTCGACTCTCTGATATGGCAATCTCGTCGCCAGCTCTAGCAGGGATTGAGTATAGCCGCTCCAGCTTCATCATGGGTGACAAGCTTCAAGCCTCCTCTTCTGGTTCCTCGAGCAGGCGGAATTCTGGGAGGAGGATGGTGGTCGCTGCACAGTCGGCTGCGATCGATAGCCACTTTGTTTTGGGATTGGATTACAGTGCCTCCAAGCAAGAGATCAAGCGGGCTTACAGGAACCTTGCGCTCCAGGTGTGTAGGATCTTTGTCAATTATGTTTGCTGGTGTTCTGATCTCGTTATTCCTTGCGTTGTTTCCAGTACCATCCGGATGTTTGCAAGGGGACTGGGAACGAGCACGTTTTCACTCAGATCAATCTTGCCTACGAGGTTAGCAGTTTAACTTCTTTGGTGGTTTTGTTTCTTTGTGCTTAGCTCTTTTGTTTCCTTGTTGCAGTGCTTGATGAGCGAATCTCAAAGCCAGCAAAAGCTCCAGGAAAACTCGAGAGTGGATCCAAACTCCAAAGCTAGAAGCGCTGGATCCATGGAAGACGAGTGGCTATCCGAGGGCTACACGTTTGAGGAGATTTTTGGAAAGAGCCCGTGCTACCAGACTGTCGATGAATCTTTGTTCCGCGAGGTGGAAGAGAGGCCGAGAAGAAAGGTCAAGAAGGGCAGCTCTCGCGAGGATTGGTAGGTTTGCTATATAGTCAACATGCTGACCCGTAGACTGGCGCTGACTGGCAGGCGAAACAGATAAGAGGGTGTTACATTGAAAAAAACACCGATTTTTTTGTGTAGAAAGTAAAAACTACTTTCTACTTTCTAGTAAAAAGAAAGTAAAATAAAAAGTGGCGCTATGGCGAGCTGCCACGTCTGGAGCGAAGTGTCAGTATTTGATTGGCTCACTCTTTGTTGATAACACATGAACGATTTCTTCCATTTTATCACCGAGTCATGGCTTCAACACAGGTATGATCACTCCGTGTTCTTCAATCCCGATCGATTCATTGTTTCTCTTTGGTTTTCTAGAATCCTTCTTCCACTGGTACCACCAAGTTGGCCGAGGAGCACGCCAAGAATCTATCAGCCGAGAATGAGAAAAAGGAGAGCGCGGAGGTAGTACCGTCAGTGGATCATCGATCCGGTCCAGGCCAGCACCAGCAAAAGGATGCGATCCCGACTGTGGTGGTGCACGAGAACGCGGATGATCCTGCAAAGAAATCTGGAACGAAGAGTTGAGAGTTCCACAGCACAGCTGCTGCTCATAGTTTTTGATTGTGATCCAAAAATGTGGACAGCGAATAGAAGATGTTAGTAGTATACATACAGAGACAATGGTGCCTTAGATGAGCCCCTGTCGTTGCAAGTCGGTGTAAGTTTTCTTGTTGTAGACGTTCCCGTCCCTGTCCTCGTACTCCTCTTCCAGGTCCGGGCGCCACTTGTTCATGCCCGACCGCTCCTGGATGATCTCGTACAGCGCCTTTGCGTCCTGGTACAAGATTGTCATTAGCTGTAAGCATAAAAAATGAAAGTAAGTACCTTGATGGAAGTAATCTCATGAAAGTTTTTCGTGTTTGGTATTCCTAAGCAGCGCATGCCGTGCTGATGCCTCCATTCTTTGAAGTGTCGTTCGAAGGCCCTTCGCCCCCAGTAGCTAGAGTTTCCACATATCTCGCATTTGAACTCCTGCAAAACAAAGGAGAGGAGATGACGGCCAGCAAAAGAAGGAGAATAACTTTTTACCTGGCCCAAGCCGTGAAGCTTGTACAACCAATATGGAATCGGCTTCCCGTCCCACCCCATCGGCAGCTTCAACGGATTGTAAAACTGCTGCTCCTCTTCCTCGCTCTCACTTTCCGGTTGTACTTCCACTTGCTGTGAAAGATAATGTTAGCCAAAGGCTCAAACGCAAAGAACACAAACTTACTTCTTCCCGCTCTTCTTCCATTTCCTCGTAGGTGAATGCCTGCTTCTTCTCCACGTGGCCCTTCGTCTCCTCGATGGCCTGTACCAAAGCGTCAACGAAAGAATAAGGGTGCTAAACTCATACCTCATGAAGTAGCTCAGTCAAGCGACGTATCCGACATTCGTTCAATGCAATGTCCTTGATATTTGGAAGAGACTCGTCACCATTCTTTTTCGGTTTCATTCCTTTAGCGAAGTGCTTACTGTCAAGTTGGTCCAGTGGTTGGAGCTTTGTAAGCCAGAGCCGCTCCGCGCGTTGCTGGACAGTTCCTCCGCTTTTCAGGCCCAAAAATGCCAGTGACTGCAAAGAGTTGATGCTTAGTTAAGTCACAGAGAAGAAGAAACTTACATACCTGTTTTAGCCTCTCTCCCCCAAGCTGCACAAGCTCTTCAGGAGAGTGATAGTTATCAATATTGATCGGATTCAAATTCTTCACTCCTTTGTTTTCCCAGCCTTCTACCTTCCCGGCGAGCCATCGCTCCTCAAACTCTGCCTCGACCTGAAAAAACGCGAAATCAAAGGATGAACAGACAACGCAATCAATGATGTTGTACCTTTGTGAGTTTTTTCTCAATGTCCTGTAGGGGCTGAGTTCTCTGGTAAAAAGACACAAGATAATGCATCAGATCCTCCACGTATTCAGTGTACTGTCTGCATGATCGCTAAAAGTGTAAGATGCACAGAATAAAAGAAAAAAACTTGCCTTGAGAGCTTGTGCATCTGAGGAATTTTGTGCAGTTGAAAGAAGGTCTCGATGTAGGCCGAGTACTCCAGCTGCTGCTCTTTATCCTTCTTCTTCACGAAGCTCAAATTCACGTAGCGTTGATGCAACTCGTGCAGGTCGAGAAACCGCCCATACCCTTCCTGCAGAAAAGGTAGAGAGGATTCACCGCGAGAAAACAAAGAAAATAAAACTTTACCTCTCCACTGAACTCGATGTAAGGTTCTTCCTGGAAAACTTGTTCCAGATCATCGACTTCCATGGCTTGGAGTGATGGGTGTCGTCGATGGTACTCGCGAATCTAAATAGAAAGAACACAATCGCGAAAGATGAGCTCAAAGAAAACAATCCATTTATCTTTCCTACGCACTACTCACCTCCTTGAGCCGATCGTAGAAAGCGCTAAAGACATTATTCTGGCCGGGAGCGGTTTGGCCTCCAAGCGCAGCAATCTCATCACTCCTGGCACCATCAGCGTCTTCGTAGATATCCACCTACGATCAAAATCCACCCATGAAGAAACCGAAGAAATGGAGCTCACGCTTACCAGCTTAGAAGTCGCCAGCGTCATCGCTTCCAGCATCATCTTGACGCGATGACTCTGGTACAATCGATCCTTGTGTGACTTGACCTCCTTCTGGAGCTCCTTGACCACCATTCGCTCCAAACGCTCGATGTCGTCATGCGCAGATCGAGCTTGCTCCAGCAGCGTGGCCGACATCGTCTCCTTCCTCCTGCTCAAAACCCTAACCCTAGGAGCCCAATATCCTGCCACGTACGCCTTTTTGTTTCCCTTTGCCAAAAACCCTAAGCCTCTGTTTCAAAATTTCCTAACCCTAAAAATCCCGCCACGTAAGCCTCTTTTGTTTCAAAATTTCCCCTTCGAGTGAGGTTTTTGCTATGGCGGCGCCGGTGTGCGTCCAGCATGCCTTCTCCAGCTCGCCACAGCAATGCGACATCCAAATGCGGGCTACCGGCGGCCAAGGCAGCGCTGGATTCTTGGCCGCGAGGAGCGCCAATCCAATCCACGATAGGGTTCGTCATCAGCAGCATCGCCAGGCCAGAGTCGCGCTGCTTGTCAAGGCGTCATCGTCGCTCAAGGACGGGGAGAGGTCCACGGCGGCTACTCCGGCGGACGATCGCAATGCGAGCCAGTCGAGCGGCGAGAATGTGGTGAGATCCGAGGAAATCAGGGAGGATGAGGAGGCCGTGTCTGGCGATGCGGCTGTCAAAGGGACTGTTCTTGCGGGATTGCTGCTTATCGGCACGGTGGGAGGATTTGCCGGGGCTGGATACTACTACCGGGATCAAATAAACGAATTTTTGCTCCAGTTCGCGGATGTCATCGAAGGTATGGAACTGTTCTATTCGATTCTCTTGCTTTTATCTGAGAACTTTTTTTTTTGGGAATTTTTTAGCATATGGACCTGCTGGTTATGCTATCTTCATCGCTGTGTATGCCGGTTTAGAGGTATGTCTTGCTTTTTTCATAAGAAAACTAGAGATCTTCTCACTAGCCTACTCTTGATCGTTCAGGTTCTAGCGATTCCGGCCATTCCACTCACAATGTCAGCTGGATTGCTTTTTGGTACGCTGACAGGAACAGTGATTGTATCGGTTTCTGGCACGGTAAGTGGTCATGCATGGAGCAATTTCTTTCTTTTCGTCGATCGTTCGAGCTGATTTTTTTTGTTTGGCTTTTTCTCGGATTGTTTTCTAGATTGCAGCAACACTCTCGTTTCTTATCGCTAGATATGTTGCTCGTGACAAGATTTTGAAGCTAGCCGAAGGCAACAAAAAGTATATGGCCATTGACAAGGCAATCGGTGAGAATGGTTTTCGAGTTGTTGCTCTTCTTCGGCTCAGTCCCCTTCTTCCCTTCTCCCTGGGGAATTATCTTTACGGTTTGACGTCCGTAAAGCTTGTTCCTTATGTATTGGGGAGGTATTTGATTCTTTTCCTTGGCAAAACCGTTGCAAATTTTACTTGTTTTTTCAGCTGGGTTGGCATGCTACCAGGAACTTGGGCTTATGTGAGCGCAGGAGCATTTGGTCGAGCTTTAATCGTATGTTTGCTTTCGTTTTTCCTCTAAAAATGCTTGTTTTTTTTTCCTTCCATAATTTTACAGCAAGAATCAGAATCGAAATTGCCGGGAGGTCCCCAGCAGCTCGCTACGCTTGGGTTAGGATTGCTGGCGACAGTAGTTGCTGCAGGATATGTTACGAGACTAGCCAAGGTTAAGGTTTTCACATCATTCGGCTATCGTGGTTCTAACTTCACTCATTTTTCTTCTCTTTTTCCAGGATTCTATAAAGGACATCGAGTAAAGAGAGAGCGAGAGAGAGAGAGAGAGAGCGAAGACTGTATAGGTACTAATTTTGTACGTCTCTAACTGTATTCAATTTGTATATAGGAGAAGTCACAAAATGGCTACCCTCATCCTAGAACATTTTGTTTGCAATGGAGAAGAGAGAGTGTGAGTTTGAAAATTTGGAGTATCAAAGGGGATTTGGCAATCATTTTCGAAGCGAGGCTCTGCAAGGTGCTCTACCAAATGGACAGAACAGCCCTCTCCACTGCCCATATGGTTTGTATGCCGAACAACTTTCGGGAACGGCCTTCACTACTCCAAGGAAACAGAATTTCAGAAGGTACTCGCAATTCTAGGAGTGGATTTTGCCAATTTACTCTGTAATCATTTTGATTCAGCTGGCTGTATCGGATCAAGCCATCTGTTGGACACGAACCATTCCAGCTTTATTCTTCTCCATCTCTGAACTTCGCTGGCGTTATTGATAAGGATCGTTTCCTCACAACGCCAACGCAGTTGCGGTGGAAGCCTCTGGAGTGTCCAGAACATCCAAGAGACTTTGTTCATGGCCTCTTTACAATGTGTGGAGCCGGAAGCCCCTTTCTTCGACACGGTTACATGATCCATATGTAAGCAATCAGATCTTGTATTCTTGTTAGAAATTTCTCGTGTTGCAGCTACGTGGCAAACAAATCCATGGAAGACTGTGCGTTGGCTAACGCTGACGGGGACTTCTTGATTGTTCCACAGCAAGGACGTAAGAACTAATTTTGCTCAACTCTTTTCGTTTTTATCTTCATTTGCTTTCAATAACAGGTCTTTGGATTAAAACTGAATTTGGGAAACTGCAAGTTTGCCCTGGTGAAATCGTTGTTCTTCAGCTAGGAATGCGGTTTGCTATCGAACTACCAGATGCAACCTCTCGTGGCTACATTCTAGAGGTTTTCAGCGGGCATTTTCAGCTTCCGGACCTTGGCCTTATTGGTTAGTTTCAAGATAAAGAGGTTCTGACGTTATTGTTAGTTCGCCACAGGTGCTAATGGTCTTGCTGAAGTCGGAGAGTTTGAAACTCCTGTAGCGTGGTTTGAGAATAAGCACTGCGAAGCTGGTTTCACCATTTTCCACAAATTTGGAGGCCAGATGTTTTCAGCAAAACAAGAACATTCCCCGTTTAATGTCGTAGCTTGGCACGGCAACTATGCACCATACAAGGTGAACATTTGAAACTTAGCAGGAGGTCTCTAAAGTTCTTTCTTCTGTCTTTTCTATTTCATACAGTATGACCTCAGGAAATTTTGTCCAGTTAACACGGTGTTGTTTGATCACGCGGACCCGTCTATAAACACAGGTACCAGCAGACCTTTTCAGATTTTGTGTGTGCTTCACCCGGGTTTCGTGTAACCTGTGCAGTTCTCACAGTCCCTTCGGAGAAGCCCGGCGTGGCGGTGGTCGACTTTGTGGTATTTCCACCTCGATGGTCAGTGGCGGAGCACACATTCCGACCGCCATACTTCCACAGAAACTGCATGAGCGAGTTCATGGGGCTTATCTCCGGCTCTTACGAGGTAGACAATTCCTGTTTTCTCTCCAAAATGGTTCATCCTTGTGGTTCTTAGGCCAAGGCGGGCGGATTCCTTCCGGGAGGTGCGAGCTTGCATTGCTGCATGACACCCCATGGCGTGGATGCTACAACTTACGAGGTATTCTCGATCCTTTGTCTAGTTCTCACGCTATTTCCATGTTCTTCTAGAACACGATCAGCGCAACATCACAGGAACCTGTCAAGGTGTCGACCAACGCTCTAGCTTTCATGTTTGAATCGTCGCTCACTCCCCAAGTAGCGATCTCGGCGTATAACTCACAGCAGCGAGACGCTGAGTATCACCAGTGCTGGAGTGGCCTGAACTCTCATTTTGCTCTTGAAAGCTAGCCAAATCGCGACCGTTAGATCGGACGGATCACAGCCCGCCACATGGCTCGGAAAATCGCTACCGTCAATATCACATGGCTTGATCCAGGATCTCTTAACTTTAGGGTTTATTATCTTGCTCGCCTCTCTCCAAATTCACGCTAGGAGCGTGTTCTCCATGGATTGCGAATGGATGCAGTGAGAAAATGTGATGCTTCACTGGCCATTGCTGCTTCTCTGGCAATCTGATAGAATGCGTGTTGAAATTTCCTTGTTTTCCAGCGAAATCTCGGGCATGAATGGCCCTTGCGGATCGATGCGAGCAGATCCACGCCCTGCTATCCGCGTTGAAATCATGCCACAAGTCGCGCAATCTCGAGAAAGGCCAGAGGCTTCACAGTGATGCGATCCAAGACGGGGATGAATCGAACCAGTATTTTGGCAACGGTCTTCTCAGCATGTATGGAAAATGCGGTTCCATGGTGGACGCCCAACAGGTTTTTGATGCAATGCCTTCTCGAGATGTGGTCTCATGGAACGCTTTGATCGCAGGCTATGCCGAGAATGGGGATGAAAGGCTGGGACTGGAAGTTTTTTCCTCCATGCAACGAGAGGGATACAAGCCAGATGCTCGAAGCTTTGTTGCTGTGCTCAAGGCCTTGGCGAGCTTGGCAGCCGCGGAAGAAGGGCGAGAGATAGAAGGCAAGCTCGTCAAAGAGGAGTGTCTCAAGCAAGGGAGAATTCTTCACTCGCAAGCTCGAATAAGTGGCTACGAATCCAACGTTTTCCTTGCCAACACTCTGGTGGATATGTACGCGAAGTGTGGAAGCCTGGTGGATGCCCGGCGAGCTTTTGCTAGCATGCCTCGCCGGAGCGTTGTCTCTTGGAACGCGATGCTGCTGGGCTGTGCGGACAATGGCGAGGCCGAGGAGGGGATGAGGCTGTTCGAAAGCATGCAAATCGGTGGAAGCTGCGAACCGGATGCGAGAACTTTTGTGGCCGCGCTGAAGAACTGCTCGATCCAGTCGGTGAAGGAAGAAGCCCGGCTGGTTGACGGGATGTTGCTGAAGCTGGAGAGCTTGAAACGAGGGATGGCTATTCACGCGGAAGCGGCGAGAAGGAAGCATGACTTAGACGGATACGTGACGAGCAGCTTGGTGGATATGTATGCCAAGTGTGGGAGCTTGGGTGACGCGAGGAAAGTTTTCGAAGGCATGCCGTACAGAAGCGTGGTAGCGTGGAACGCATTGCTGCTAGGCTGCGTTGAGAACAGGGAAGCGGAGATGGCCTTGGAGCTGTTTTCTTCCATGCAAAGTCCGGATGCTCTCAGTTTTGTTGCTGCTCTGAAAGCATGCATTCTCCTGGCTACTACTGATGGAGACGCTGGCCGGGTTTCTCTCGAACGAGGCATGGCTATCCATACTCGAGCTGCAAAGTTGGGCTACGACTCCGAGACCAATGTGTTAGGTACGTTGGCCGACTTGTATTCCAAGTGTGGAAGTTTCACAGATGCGATGAGGGTGTTTCACAGGAGTTCTCGTCGGCATCGAGTGCTGTGGAACACGCTGATACTTAGTTATGTGGACAGCGGCGAACCAGAGCTGGCTCTCGAGATTTTCCTTCGCTTGCGAGCCAACGACCCTGAGAGGTGTGCTCCGGACGCTCGAACGTTCGCAGCGGCGCTCAAGGCGTGTGGCAGTGTTGTCTCTATGGAGATCTCTGCGGTGATCCACGCTGATATTCTTCGACGGGGCCTTGAGAAGGACGGAGTTCTGGTCACTTGTTTGGTGGACGCTTGCTGCCGATGCGGAAGAATGGTCGCTGCTCAGCACGTAGTTGATGCTCTGGTCTCGGAGGACTTGATAGCCTGGAACGCGCTGCTAACGGGATACAGTCGTCATGGAGACCATGAAAGGGTCTTGGAACTGTTCGAGAGAATGCGGGGTGAAGGCTTGGAACCGGACTCCATCACTTTTATGGCCGTTCTCAGCGCGTGTGGTCACTGCGGCCTGGTCGAGAGAGGCAAGAGGTTCTTCAAGGCAATGGTTTCAAACTTTAGGATTCAGGCCGAGATAGAGCACTACCACTGCATGGTGGATATCTTTGGTCGTGCCAATCGGCTGGGTGATGCTTTGGAGACCGTGAGAAGCATGCCATTCAGACCGACTGCTGTGACATGGACGATTGTTCTCGGGGCTTGTCGCAAGTGGAAGGATGTGGTGGTCGGACGGCTCGCGTTTGAATCACTGCTAGCTATGAATGAAGCGGACACGGCAGCGTATATGTTGATGGGAAACATTTATGCGAGCAGAAATATGTGGACCGAGAAAGCGGAGAACGTCCAACACAAGTTTCTAAAAGGTACGTTTATGGGATAGAGTAGAGAAGAAAAAGGAACTTTGTGATCTTACCTCTAACTTATTCTTTTCTCGCAGTTTGATCACCTTTAATTCCCTTTTCCTAAAAACGAAGATCATCTGAAGTTACTTTTACGACGGATAAGGTGGAGTCCCAGCTGTTATAAAATGATCCCAAGCTCTCGAGAAAATCTCAAGGAGCAAGGATGAGGCTTGCGAGTTTGCTCCTCGTCTCCGCTCTGTTCGTTGCATGCTCCGCGATCAGTGGGGATCCGCCGGTTCAGATATGTATCAACGACGTGACGGTGAACATCTCGAACTATCTCCGCTACACGCACAGCATCGATCCTCGGCTCGACACTTACAACTACACGGAGGACTACACAGCGCCGATGTCGGATCCTCCTCCAGCTATTGTTCCAGCCAGCTTTGCTGCAGCGGCTAGCAAGATTCACCTGCTGGAAGGATCTTCGCTCCACAAAGTCCGGATCGACGCCGACTCGCTACAAGGCAAGGGCCAGCAGACGAATCTCGAGTACCTTCTCATGCTGGACGTGGATAGTCTGGCCTATAGCTTCCGCAACAATTCGGGATTGCCGACAAAGGGTGTTCCTTACGGAGGATGGGAGGCTCCAGACCAAGAGCTCAGAGGACACTTCGTTGGTAAGCTAAACTACATTGGAGTTTTCTACGTGCTTAGTTACAGTATTGTTTTTGTGATCCAGGGCACTACTTGAGTGCCACTGCAAAGATGTGGGCAAGTACACACAATGAGGAGCTGAAGCGGAGGATGGATCATCTCGTGGATATACTAGATGAGTGCCAGCAAAAGATTGGGACTGGTTACTTGTCAGCGTTTCCTCTCAACTTGTTCACTCGTTTTGAGACGTATCGTCCAGTATGGGCTCCGTATTACACCATCCACAAGGTGAGTGAGTGTGTCATGAAAGCCGTGTGTTTACTGATCAAACCTTTCCTTTTTAGATAATGGCTGGACTTTTGGATCAGTACACCGAGGCAGGCAATATGAAGGCTCTCCGAATGGTCATTTGGATGGCACAGTATTTCTCAAAACGTGTGGAAAACTACATCGAGAAGTACAGCATTCAAGCTCACTTCCAAGCGCTAAATGAAGAAACTGGTGGCATGAATGATGTTCTCTATGACCTCTATAAGATCACGGTACGTTGTTTTAAGTTGGCATGATCGTTACCAGATTTCTTACAATGCTTTGTCTTGCTTCGCAGGGTGATCCACAACACTTGAAGCTTGCTCATCTCTTTGACAAGCCATGCTTCCTTGGTCCATTGGCTCTGCAGCAAGACACACTGTCGGGTTTCCATGCTAACACTCATATCCCAATTCTGATAGGTGCACAGAAGCGATACGAGCTAACCGGAGACCAAGTTTCCAAGGTAACTACCAGGATTGAACTACTTTCAAGCTCACACTGTCGTGTAGGAGCTGGTCACCTTTTTCATGGATGCTGTCAACTCGTCGCACCGCTTCGTCACCGGAGGAACCAGCGACAATGAGTTTTGGAAGGATCCCAACAGGATGGCTTCCTCGCTTGGGAAAGATGTGGAGGAGTCGTGCTCGAGCTACAACATGCTCAAGATCGCCAGAAACTTGTTCCGGTGGACGAAGGACGCCAGCTACATGGATTACTATGAGCGGCTTATACTCAACGGCGTTCTCACCATCCAGAGAGGAGAACCCGGAGTGATGATTTACATGCTTCCTATGGGCCCTGGAATGGCTAAAACTTCCAGCACTATGGGATGGGGAGATCCATTTGATTCGTTCTGGTGCTGCTATGGAACTGGTGCGTATTTTCTTGTAAGCTTCTCGTTCACTGACTTGGAGAAAGTTTTCCTTCATCTCAGGCATTGAGTCGTTCTCAAAGTTTGGAGACTCGATCTATTTTGAGGACTATGGTGTGAGGGACGAGAATCCAGGAGCACAGCGTCCAATCCCAGCACTTTATGTTGCGCAATTCGTTCCAAGCACACTCGAATGGGACTCGGCCGGTCTCATACTTAAGCAGACAGTAAAACCACTGACCTCGTTTGATCCGGTCATGGAGGTCACCATTCATCTGCACGAGGTAATTCTTTCTCGTTTATTTACTTCCTCTACTTTCGAAGTTACTAACTCATACACAACTTTGGTCAGAATCCAAAAGCAACTATTGAAGAAACAAGCCCGTACCACAAGCTGATCAACACCTTGTACGTTAGAATTCCGTCGTGGGTGGCAAGCGGCTACGAAGCGTATTTCAACGACGAGCCACAAGATATCACGCCGGGATCGTTCTTGGCGATCCAGAGAGAGTGGAAGGCCGGCGACAAACTGACATTCAAGTTCCCAGCAGAAGTGAGACTAGAACACATCCAAGGTATGGAAAATACTCTCTTTGCAAATCTGCAAATCTTCTAACTTTCGTGGTGGTGGTGTGCTTTTCTTTTCTTCCAGATGATCGGGAGGAACACCAGAGCTTGAACGGGATCATGTTTGGACCATTCGTGCTGGCCGGTTTAAGCCACGGTGAATTCGACTTGGGCCCCGTCGACACCTCGTCCCCAAGCGACTGGATCACTCCGGTGAATCCCAGCGACAACGATCTCTTGTACACTTTCCGGATGGGAGACTACCAGCTGGGACACAAGCACCGCACCGTGACGCTCGACTCGGCCAGCACCAACGGCACAGACTGGGACTTCGAGGCCACTTTCAAGGTGATATCTTCTTCGTCTCCATCGCTCGCTGCTAGCAAGCATTCCGGACTGGTGGGAAGAGTGGTCTCTCTGGAACTCCTGGATCAGCCAGGAAGGATCATCGCCCACTCCGGGATCAACAAGAACTTGGTGGTGGTGGACACTTCCCAGTTCGCGGACAGCACGAACTACTTGTCTCAGGCGAACTTGGGATTCAAGGTGGTTCCAGGGCTGGCGAGCGATAGATTGGTGTCGTTTGAGTCGCAAGATCTCCCAGGCTGCTACATCTACGTCGACGATTGGAGAGTTCCGGCGCAGCTCAAGTGTAGAAGCAAAGAGAACGATGGATTTGATGCCAAGGCGAGCTTCAAGGCGAGCCAGGGATTGAGGAGCTATCATCCGTTGAGCTTCGTCGCGACGAGCCAAGGCTTGAGGAATTTCTTGCTCTTCCCGCAGCTGGCTTACAGGGACGAGCACTACGCTATCTATTTTGATATGGTATAGTCGTATTGTATAGTTTGAGAGAGATGTAAAGGTTTTGAGAGATCGATCTTGGGCTATGGTTGTTAACTAGAAATCATAGCATCTTCCAGCTTTCTCCCAGTCGCCATAGCGCGTTGGCTCGAGGCCTTGGGGTCCTCCCACCTCCTCACGCTCTACTCCTTTGCCATTCTCGTTCTCGTTCTTATTACTCTCAGCCCTAGTGCTACTCGGTTCTTCCTTTGGATCTTCCTTGGAATCGCGCGCATTCTTTTGGTTCTTGGGCGCCGGCTGCTCGATCCGCGCTGCGCCAGACGACCAAAGCCTCGATTGATTGATCGCCAGGCCGACCCATCGACGACGCAACGCCATGGCCATGGAAGATCACAAACCCTAAATTCCGGAGAGGCTCTTTGCTACGCAAGAATGTTCTTACATTTTGATCACGATGGTGGCGCTGCTGCTTGCGAGGATGCTGGCGATGGCGCTGGAATTCCCAGGTATTTTGGAGGAGGAGGGCCTTTGCAAGCCTTGATAATCGCTTCGACCTAGAAGACAAGAAAGCCCCAATTTCATCTAGTGAAGAAGAGAAGAAGATTTCTCTCTCGCGATACCTGGTGAATGCGGATTAATCGCCTCCTCCTGTTGGCTTTCCTCGTATCATTCATCTTCCATTTCTTCCACACCAGCCCGCCAGTGATCTTCTTGACGATCTGCAGCACATTCGTGAACTGGACCATCCTCGCTAGAACCCTAAACCCCCGCGGAACTTGGAATGTGGTCAGCTCTAATCAACGTCGGTCAATTCCTGGTCAATCCAGATTCTCATCTTCTCCCACCTCTTGCGATCTGTGTAGAAGTCCCGGAAATCCCACGACTCATCGATCCATCCCCTGGAGATGGCGTGCAGCCTCGCCTGGCGCGCGTGAAAATTGAGTGCCTCGCGCAGTGGCCGGTGATTCGTGATGAATTTGAGCCTCGCCCCATCGATCGCCGCGAAAGAGAGCGCGGCGAGCTCTGGATCGTCGCTGCCGCTCCAATTCCCTCTCGACTCCGCCACCGAGACGAGCAGCCTGTCCCGGATCGATGGATCCAGCACGCGGCACACGATTTGATCGCGGCCGCCATCGCTGCTCTCCGGATCAACCAGGAAGCACAGATGGAGGCGATCGAAGCAGCACTCGATCGGCGAGAACAGCATCAGGCCATTGGCTGGATCGTCGATGTCCTCCAATCCCATCACTGCCTGGGCGACGCGCGCCCACTCGTGCTTGAAGAGATGGGCGGCGATGAGGCTCCTAGCCGGGACGAGGCGATCGACCGCTGGGCAGTAGAGCTTCTTATCGATCGTTGATCCACGCGAAAATCTCTTGTAGCCATAGGCCTCCAGCAGCCGGGCCCGGAAGCTCCGATTTCTTGGGGTTGCGATGAGCTTGCCCGATCCATAGGAGAGATTGACGCGATTGATCTTCATCTGGACCTCTGTGACATGAGAGATTGCTTCCAGCTTCGTGGCCAGTCGCTGGATCTTGTCCTCCATCTCCTGGATCTTGGCAATGGTGTCCCCTTGCTGTGATTCGAGCGTGCGGTGGAGCAATCCTCTCGTTTTGATCGATGGATTTGGGTCCTTGATGCTGCTGCTCTCGAGTGGAAATCCCAGCCCAATTGGGATAGAAACCGGCTCGATCTCAATCTCCTCGTGATTTCTCCGGATGGCACTGGGGATCCCCTCGTGCTGAATTGGATGTTTGCGGTGGAATTCGATAGATTTGAAGCTCCTGGTAACTGGGAGGGAAGAAGATCGCGCGGGGCCCCTGTTTCTAGGGCTAGAACAGAGAACTGACGATTGAGCTCTCGATCTGGCGCTGCCGATTGCGAACGCGATCGCTGCTGGAGCTGGAAGGAATCGGGAATCCAGCGCCATGAGCTTGATCCACCGCATTGTCACCTAGAGAGCCATCCTTTGATTCCTTCTCTTCTCTCTTCCGCGCGAATTGGAAGAAGCTTGAAGCATTCGAGATCCCAAGAGCTTTCATCTCAAGCTGCCACGTGTACGGTGGAAATTTTTAAAAATCCTTGCGAGGATATTCCGTCCTTCCAACGGGTAGGGTTTTAGGGCAGGAGCGATGGAGGAAGAGCTCTGGAGCTCGCAAAGGGATGTCATCGCCAAGGTTTTTGTGCTCCTGCCGCTCGAAGACATCATCCGCATTCGATCCGTGTGTAAGTCTTGGCACTCGCTCGTCGGATCGGGCGAGTTTCTCGAGCTCTGGAAGCGCAAATCCGCCAGGCGGTCGCAGCCGCCGTGGATTTGCGTCCGGGCGTGGCGAGAATCCCTGCAGCAGCAACGAGCGCCGCCGAAATCCGAGGTTTGGAGTCCCGTCGGAGGCCCCAGAGTAGCGTTCCCCTTCACGTTTCGTCCGCCAGGAACATCGCAGCTCCAGATTATGGCGTCCTCGCGTGGCCTGGTGTGCGGCCAGGGATTCAATGGGGCGCTCTACGTGGGAAATCCTTTGAAGGGTCTGTGGCACCAGCTGCCATTGCCACCTACAAGCATTGGCAGCCACCAGGCGACCATGGCCGTGGCCGCCACTGGGAATTCGTACAAGGTCGGTTTCTTTGGAGCATTGCCATTTCTCATCTATGATTCCAGACTGGAAACTTGGGTGACCGACGCTAGCTACTACAGGCCAGGGACTTGCATTACCAGGGATCTCCGAGGCTCGCTCTACATGAGCAATCTTCCCGGCAGCGTTATATGCTACGATATGAGCTCGAGATCATGGTCGGAGGTGGAAGTTTGTGGCTTCCCGGATAAAAGCCATCAAAGGCTGGATATCATGGTTTGCAGCTCCATGATCAATCACAGGGGGAGACACATCCAAGTTTCGGCATTGCTGAGTGACGACAAGAAGCTCTGGTACGAGATATGGGAGCTTGTACCTGGGAATCAGTCGTTACCCAGGGGCTGTAAAATGGCCTGGAGGATCTTATCTACGAGCCTGACACTGAATGAGATTACGCTGGAGGGAAGCTTTATCTTCGTCCAGGCAGGAGACATGCTGGTGGTGTACCCCCGGCTGCTGCGAGGTTCTCACTCAGTTTCGGAAGAGTGGCGCTCCAATTTTCCTCCAGCAGTGGCTTTCAACGTTGAGCTGAGCTCCTGGCACGTCTTAGAAGAATCGTTTGAGGGGATTTTTGTGCCGAGCTTAACGACACAGCCTTGAGGTACAGAAAGTTCCAGTCTCTTCTTTCTTTATATATGTTTTGATGTGATGGAACTATAGAATATTACGTACGTGAGATGGGCATGATATACCTCCTGATAATCGGGACAAACGTTACGTGTCCTTTTGGAGGTTGTTCGTGGCAGAAATTCAGCAATCCAGCACAGCACACGGGTCTTCTTTATTCGAGTGTATCATTGACCCCGTTGAGTGCGCAGCAACTCCAAAACCTTGAGGTGATTTCAAGTTTCTTGGACTTGACGATCTTAATTCAGGCGGTGACAAGAGGAGCTTAATGGCGGCTGAAGAATCGGCTCGCATTGCGCCTCCGCAAGGGCTCCGGTCTCAATCTTCAGTTGCCAAGCAGCATCACAGGCACCTCCGTCGGCATGGCAGTCATGAACTGGAGGACGAAGAGCTGGAAAATGAGGCAGATCTAGAAACTGTTGAGGAAGAAAAATCAAATCTTTTGCTCTACGGCAAGCTCGAGGTAGGAATTGGGGATTGCAAGAACTTGGTGTTCAGGGGGCCGCTCACAGACTGCGTCCGCATGCGAATTCCGATGTCCTGCAATCCCAAAGTATCCAAGAAGACGCGATATCCAAAACGGGGGCTCTACGTTGTTTTGAGCATTGGGGGAGCAAGGCTTGGTCGAACCCGGATATCAAAAAAACCATCCTGGAACGAACAATTATCCATCCATGTAAGTCATTTTGCGACGGAAGTTGTGCTGACCGTGAAAGACGACGGGCTTTTATTTGGGCCTCACGTCCTCGGCAGGGTCCGAATACCAGCGGAGGAAGTTCTTTCGAAGAAGCCCATCGAGGGGTGGTTTCCGCTGTTAAGCAGAGGAAGGCAGAAACAGGATACGCAGCTCAACCTTTTTATCAAGTACACTCCTGTCGAGGAAGATCGGAATTACATTGAAGGTGTTGGTCCGGGGATTGGTGTGGAGAAGGTGTACTTTCCTCTTAGAACAGGATGCCGAGTGAGGCTGTATCAAGACGCTCACGCGGAGGTGCCTCCTCTCAAGCCGATAAGTCTCGACAATGGCCAGGAATTCGTGAGGCAATGCTGCTGGGAGGATCTCTGCCGGGCAATTGTCGATGCTCACCACATCGTGTATATTATCGGATGGGCAGTCTTTCATAGAACCAGGCTGGTGAGAACTGGTCACAAGGACTTGCCGGACTTAACACTGGGTGAGCTTCTTAAGCAAAAGTCTGCAGAGGGTGTGAGAGTTCTCTTGCTTGTTTGGGATGACAAGACGTCTCACAGGACAAGGTTCTTCAAAATCGTAAGATACTTTCTTTGCTTGTAAGTTATTACATTAACTTTTAACTTGCTTTCCAGGATGGTGTTATGGGGACTCACGACGAGGACACAAAGAAATATTTTAAGCATTCTGCAGTGAAGTGTGTCCTTTCTCCTCGCTATGGAGACAACAAGCTCAGCTGGTTTAGACAAAAGGTAAGTTTATCATAACTCTTACAAAAATCATTGTTGTCTGTGCAGATTGTGGGAACCTTGTATACTCATCATCAGAAGCTGGTAATAGCTGATACTCAGGGCCCGGGACAAACTCGAAAGATCACCTCATTTTTGGGAGGTCTAGACCTTTGCGATGGTCGTTATGATACTCAAAAGCACTCTCTTTTCAACACTTTAACCACAATTCACAAAGATGACTGCTACAACGCCATGTTTTCGGTAAGTTGTCAGTGAAATTTGAGACCTTTTGATTGACTTTGTTATGCAGGCAACTGCCGAGAGTGGAGGGCCAAGGCAACCTTGGCATGATCAGCATTGCATGCTTGAAGGTCCAGCTGCGTACGACTGTCTCAAAAATTTTGAGCAGCGATGGTTGAAATCCTCGAACTGGCACGACGATGAGCTGGTTCAGATCTCACGAATTTCGTGGATACTTGGTCCAATCAAGGAGCATCCGGAGGAGGATAAAGCGCTTCTAGTATCACAGCATGATGATCCAGAGACATGGCATGCGCAAGTGCGTTGCAAGTTTTCTCCTTTCATCCTGACTGAAATAGCCTGCAGGTGTTTCGTTCGATTGATTCCGGTTCTGTGAAAGGGTTTCCAAAGAGTGCTCTGGGTGCCGAAGTCGAGGTAATTTTTGTAGCTGTAGAATGGGGTTTTATACAAGCTGTTGTTTGAGCAGCATTTGATTTGCGGAAAGAACATTGCTATCGACAAAAGTATACATGCCGCATACGTGGAGAGGATAAGGTCTGCTCGGCATTTTATCTACATTGAAAATCAGTATTTTCTGGGTTCTTCGTATGCTTGGCCTGACTATAAAAATGCTGGTAATAATCTCAAGGCTTCATGTTTTAGTTGCTAACATTCGCGATACTCTCAGGTGCAACGCATTTAATTCCGATGGAGATTGCTCTGAAAATTGACGCTAATATCCGAAAACGCAAAAGGTTCGCTGTGTATGTGCTTGTACCCATGTGGCCGGAAGGCGCTCCCGACAGTGCTTCTGGACAAGAAATCTTATATTTCCAGGCCAGTATTCTTCCGTTTTTTAAGTGCATAGAAGTATTGACACTTTGTATTCTCATCTAAACCAGGCACAAACCATGGAGACGATGTATCGTGTGGTTGCAAAAGCTCTAGCAGACACCGGACTTGACAAAGAGTATCATCCCAGAGACTACTTAAACTTCTACTGCCTTGGCAATCGCGAGAAACGGAATCACGAGCCCGAGAAGCCACCACCTGAGAAGTCGAAACAGGTACTATTGCACTCGGGGCTTTTTAAGATCTTTTAGTTTTTAATTTGTGACAGCATACTGTACAAGAAAATGGCCGTTTTCTTATCTATGTTCATGCCAAAAGCATGATTGTAGACGATGAATACGTGATCATAGGCTCTGCAAACATCAACCAGAGATCGATGGATGGTTGCCGAGACACTGAAATAGCAATGGGAGCGTTCCAGCCAAACTACACGTGGAAGCAACAGCAGAAACATCCCAGAGGCCAGGCAAGCTCAGTTCCTCGCTCGTAGCAACTTAAAACTCACCTTCGTTTCTACAGGTCTATGGCCATAGAATTTCGCTGTGGGCCGAGCATCTGGCTTGCGTGGAAGATTGTTTCGAAGATCCAGAAAGCGTGGAAACAGTCCGCCGTGTGAATCACCTGGCGGAGGAGAACTGGAAGCAGTATGTCGGCGAGGAAGTGGTCGATATGCAAGGCCATCTCATGCCTTACCCGGTGGAGGTCACCCCGGAAGGAAAGCTCGAGCCACTCCAAGGTTTCGAGAACTTCCCCGATCTTGGAGGCAAGGTACTGGGAACTCCTCACGCGCAACTTCCAGACCAGCTGACCTCGTGATTTTGTACGGAATGTCTAACCCCGTACACGTATGATTTGTACGAAATAACGGTTTTAACTCTCCGTACGAGAACCCAGGGTTTTAACGAATTAGGGTTCTTCGGCAATTTAGGGCTCTTGAATGGAGAAGCTGCGGGGATGGCTCACGCGAGGCGCCGATCGTGGCGCCGGCGATTGCAGCTGCAAGGGTGAGTGCAATAGCAACGATGATGGAGTAGGAGGCGGCGGGGCTGTCAAGCTGAAGCTGCTGTTCGCGTCGGAGACGGGCACTTCGGCCGCATTGGCGAAGCGCCTGGCTGGGAAGCTGGGTGAGAGGGGGATTCCAGTGGAGCTGGTCGATCCCAGCGGGTACGAGCCCGAGGAATTTCTCAAGGAGAGGCTGGTGGTGATGGTCGTGTCGACATGGGAGGACGGGAATCCTCCCAAGCACGCGGCTTTCTTCGTGAACTGGCTCGCCGAGAGCTCCACGGACTTTCGAGTTGGATCAAAGGCGCTGGCCGAGTGCCGGTTTGCGGTGTTTGGCGTTGGAAGCCGCGAGTATGGTTCCAAGTTTAATGCCGTTGGAAGAGCCGTGGAGAAGTACATGGCGGACCTGGGAGCGCAAAGATTGGTGGAGAGGGGCGAGGGAGACGTCGATGGAGGCAGGCTAGATGCTACTTTCGATGGCTGGTCGGCAAGGCTCGTTCGCAAAGTGAAAGAGTTTCTCGAGAGAGATTCCATCGCAGTGGAACCGGCTGCTGCGGTTGAAGGAGATGAGAGTGACGACGATGGCGAGTTTGATGACAGTAAGGAGGATTTCGACTTGGAAGATTTGGCTGGCAAGTATCCTCGAGCGACGAATGGAAAGCCCGTTAGCGATGGAGAGGCGAAGGAGATGGTGACGCCCGTTATCAGGTCCAGCTTAGAGAAACAGGTATCTGTTTCTCAGATTTAAGTTGAGATGGCCACTTCTTATCTTTGTTTCTTCTCTTTCGTTCCTTGCAGGGGTACAAGGTAATTGGATCTCACAGCGGTGTGAAGTTATGTAGATGGACAAAGTCTCAACTACGCGGTCGTGGTGGCTGCTACAAGCATACCTTTTATGGAATTGAGAGCCACAGGTGGGAAAATTTCTGCTTTTTCTACGATGATTCATGATGTTATTAAGTACTTTTCAGATGTATGGAGGCAACGCCGAGCCTTGCGTGCGCAAACAAATGCGTCTTCTGCTGGAGGCACCATACAAATCCCGTTGGAAAGTCGTGGAAGTGGAAGATGGATGATCCTTTGGATATAGTGACGACTGCTCTGGATCATCATAAGAAGATGATCAAGCAAATGAAAGGCGTCCCTGGTAAGTACTTTCCTAGCAAGTAGCTCAACTCACGGCTTTGCTGTGATATTGGCTCAGGTGTGAAAGATGATCGTCTGGAAGAAGGCCTTCGTCCAAGGCATTGTGCTCTGTCACTTGTTGGAGAACCCATCATGTATCCGGAGATTAACACTCTGGTCGACGAGCTGCATAAGAGACATATATCTACGTTTCTGGTGACTAATGCCCAGTTCCCCGACAAAATTGCATCTTTACATCCCGTCACACAGGTAGGCTTCTTAAATTCTGTCTGTGTCCCTGTGTCTGAAAACGGTTATGCAGCTATACGTGAGCGTTGATGCTGCAACAAAGGAGAGGCTAAAAGCCATAGACAGGCCTCTTTTCAGCGACTATTGGGAGCGTTTCATCGTAAGTCGTTTGCATTCAAAGCTCCTTTTGCGAAGCTAAGCTTCCTTTTCTCTTTTCTCTAGGATTCTTTGAAGGCGCTTTTAGATAAGCAACAGAGGACGGTGTATCGCTTGACTTTAGTTAAAGGATGGAATACCGCCGAAATTACGGCATACGCAGAGCTTTTGAAACTGGGAAGGCCGGACTTTATTGAGATCAAGGGAGTTACCTACTGTGGCTCGTAAGTCTCTTTCGGTTTTTGCTCCTCTCATAAAGACCCGTTTCTCTGGTTTTCAAGGTCTAAGACATCAACGTTGACCATGGAGAACGTTCCTTGGCACGAGGATGTGCGAGAGTTTTCGGAGGCGTTATCTGCAGAGACCCGAGGAGAGTACGAGCTGGCGTGTGAGCACGTCCACTCGTGCTGTGTTCTCCTGGCTAATGTCTCCAAGTTCAAAGCCGATGGACAGTGGCATACATGGATCGACTATGACAAGTTCCAGGAGCTGGTAAGCGGGCAGAGCAGACAGGAGTAATGCACTTTGCTTCCTTGCTTCTAAAGAACTTCGCTTTTCTTGCACCAGGTGACAAGTGGGGAATCCTTCAGCAGTGAGGACTACATGGCAACCACCCCGGCCTGGGCTGTGTATGGTGCTGTCGAAGGTGGCTTTGATCCCACTGAAACGAGAGTTAGAAAGGAGAGACGGCATGGCGGTGGCGGTGTTAGCGGTGGCTGTACTTAAGGGAAGAAGCCTCATCTCTTCTACTTGCCAGTTAAGTTTTTCGTTTTATTTCGTCATTCGCTCACAGAGATTGTTTACATGTGGACGCCGCAGAATTCCAGATACCCATTATTGTTTCCAAAGTAGTGATTGAGGTCCGTTTCCGTGGTGATATTGTTGCCCTTCCCGTCGGGGCACGCCGCACGCATCAAGTTGCTGTGGAGCTCGACGTCGCAGCTATCAAAAATGCCACTGCCGGAGATGATACGACCATTGTAGTTTCCCAAGTTCTCCTGCAAGTTGAAGAACTGGTGCTCCCACCTTGGCTCGCACTTGGCATATAACCAGTACTTGACGAGCGCAACGGGACGGCAGGAGAATGCGAATTGATCGCAAGCCTGTGGAAGAAGGATCAATGGAAACTGGAAGAGGTGAGTGTTCTTCTTTTCTTTTCTCTCACTCTCTTCGGTTCTTACCTGGGTGTTTATGAGCAGAGAAGCCGTAGCTGTCACGAGCAGGAGCAAGTGTTTCTTCATTGGGAACTTGTGAAGAGTTGCCGTCGCTACACTTCCCGTTATCGAGTTGGATTAAAAGGAATGATCTTTCGTCTTGGTGTAGGACCAAAAGAACGTCCGGACAAAGGAGACGTCTTCTAGCCGAGGCAAGCCAGCTTTGTTTCGTTTCTAAAGTGTATCTAGTGTAATCCCTGTTGCCGGATCATCGATTCCATGATGACATATTGGAAGACAATCAAAACAGTATAAATGAGAAAATCCGGAGGAAATGGTTTCTTTGCGCTGATTGTTTAAATAATTGTACTATAGTGTTTTTACGTCCTGAAAGTCTTTGGAGTTGCAGGAGAGTAGCTTTCTCTCTTGAGTACCTAGGAAACTGGATCTGTAGCGTACTCCACTGGTCCCTCTTATTCAATCCAATCCAAATCCTTTTGCTCGCTGGATCATCCACTGGATCAAACGGAATCGCCCAAGGAATCCCCAGATCCCTCCTTCAAAGCACACCCAGTGATTGCTCCTTGAGTGGTGGAAAACTTCCAAGCAATGCTTTCTCCCCCTCCAAATCCATTCTTTTCTTACTTGAAGTGAATGCTTCCACATGAGGATCATGTTCTCCAGTGTGGGTTTTGCTTTTCTACCTGGCTTGCTTTGACCGGTAGGTTCGGGGGGGACTTTGGCTCGGTACGGTCATGCCAGACCTAACGCTGCAGGTTGGGTGCTCCTTTACACCAAGTCCTTGGCAAAGACAGTGTCCTTACTAGCTCTTCCAGCTTTTGTGCTACATATATCCTGCGAGAAAACGGAATGGAGGACTGCGAAAGAGCACCAACATTCTCTTTGGCTTTCGCCTCGAGAAAATCGAAATCCGCGAACGGGGCATTGAACTCCAAACTAAAACCGCCGTTAAACCCGGCTAAAGCCCCACTAAACCTGGCTTGATCCTGACAGGAACATGGAATCCACCTTGACTGGACCAGGCCTTTTGTCCATGCATTGGGTGGTGTTAGGGCAAAGGTCACCATCTTTGCAATCATCTCTCTCTTAAGAAAACAATTGAAAAGAAATAAAGGATGGCAAAGTCTTCTGCAATTTGACCCTAAACCCCACTGTAATCCCAAATCACCTGATAGGATAAAGTTCTCCCTGCATTTTGTGCTTTGGTTGAAACTTTCAAAAGGAAAAACAAGAGATTTAATCTACCTTTTTTTCTTAAAAAATAGAAAAACTTCTCTTTCTCTCTTTTGGCCTTGCCTTTGCATTGCATCTGCTGCTGCTGCTGGCTGCTATCCTGCTGCAGCACACACTGGCACAGGCCACACAAGTCAGGCCAAAAAAAAAAAAAAAAGAAAGGGGGAACAACAACTGGAAGGAAAGGAGGCCTCCAAGCAAAATCCAAGGCAAGTAAAACCAGGCTAAAAATCTCTTCCAGCCCAAAATCCAAGCACACAAGCAAAGCAAAGCACAAAGATGGCTGGCTGGCTGGCTGCTCTGCATTGCCCACATGCTCCATGATCATCTCCTCTCACAACAACATGGAATCTCCAGGGGCATCTCTGGAGCATCTCTCCATGGCATGACTCTCTCTCTCTCTTCTCTCTCCCTCTCTTTCTCTTTCTCTCTCTTCCTGCCATGGAAGACAGGAGAAGAGAGAACACACAAAAGAAGCGTAGGAACAAAATGGTTTTTCTTCTCTCCCCTTCTCTCTCTCTCTCTCTCTCTCTCTCTCTCTCTCTCTGTGTGCTCTTGGAGCAGCAATGCCACCAATGGAATCAGACGATCTAAGACGCCGATGCTGATGATGGAGCCAAAATCGACACACTCGGTGCTGGATTCTTCGTCTTCCTCCTCCTAAGCAGCTTCTAAAGCGCGCTCTGCGATATCGGCAGCTATGGTGGAAGGAGAGCTCAATGGATGACGATCAGGGGTGGCAGAGTAGGAGGCATGGATTCTCGTGGACGCTCCAGCTCCTGCATTGGAAGCACGGGCCTGGAATGAGGAAGAGGTGAAAGAGTGAAAGAGAGAGAGAGTGTGTGTGTGTGTGTGTGTGTGTGAAAGTGTGAGAGGCGAGAGGAGGAAGAAGAAGATCGGGGATGTGGGTCTAGCCAGGACTGGCGACCCACGAGAGGATTTGGATCGCGAGCAAGTGGGTTGCTCCCGGAATGTAGCTGCGCGGAAGGGATTGGATCGATCGATCGAATGAGCGCCGGAGGAATAGAAGGAGCGCAGCATCGGAGGGGACACAGCACAGGGTCGAGCGCCATGGCTGTGGTCGGCAAGGAGCGCGAGGAGGATCTGGCGCTCTTCCACGAGATGAAGGCGCGGGAGAGGATCCACTTCCTCCATCCCAGCACCGAGGAGGACATCGAAGCGTCGCTCCGTGAGTTTCTTCGACCCCATTGTCTGTGTTCTTCGTGTTCTTGCGTGTTTCTTGGCTGGAATGATTGGAATCATGATGGGTTGTCCGCTAAGTTTGGGGATTTCGCGCTCCAGGGTATCGGATGGTGGCGACGGCTCCGCCATTGCAGCACAAGAGCCCTAACGATCTGCTAGGCTTGGAGCCGGAGAAGAACGACTATGACTGGTAAGCTTCCATAGCCAGGACGAGCAAAGCTTGCAAGAATTCTCACACTTTCCTCGCGTGGTATAGGCTGCTAACTCCGCCAGGAACGCCACTCTTTCCATCGCTGGATCGCGACCTCCCCAGCGAGGCACAGCTCGAGGCCGCCAGCGTTCGTGCCACCACCAGATCAAGAGTAAGTTCTCAGCGATCACACTCCATCTCTAATCTTCGTCTTCCTTCCATTCCAGCCGAGTAGAATCTCCAGAGGAAGCTCCAGTCCTTCGCGCAGGCCGAGCTCGCCATCTCCATCCTCCACCTCGAGCTTGAGCCGGCGACCATCGTTTGGAAACTCGAGCCCGTCCAGGCCAGGATCATCGAGCAGCCGCCCAGTCACTCCAACCGGCGCTCGCCCCTCCACTCCAGGAAGATCCTCCACCCCGACCAGGAGAACGCTCACCACCTCCGCCAGCTTCAACAAGATCACCACCACCTCCAACAATGTGGGAAGAACCGCGCGTAGCAGCTCGCCATCGTCGCGAAAGCCGAGAACTCCCGTCCATCCAGCAATGCCCGCGGGATTCGCGAGTGAGCCACCGCCAAACCTCCGGACGAGCATGCCGGATCGACCATCCTCGTCCAACACTCGCGGAGCTTCCTTGTCTCCCCGGCTCGTTGGAGGAGGATCCTCCTCGTTCAAGAGCTCGGATCATCGCCGCGCCGTGTCGCCGAGCTTGTCCCGGAGCTACAGCTCCTCGGCCAGCTCCAGCAAAGGATCGGTCGTCTCCTCGTCGCAAAACTCGGGCATCGAGGTGAATCGTCCCAGCCCGCGGGTGGTGATCACCACCACCACCACGGACAGCGGTGGAAAGCGGCCGATCTCGGGCTGCGAGGAGACCTCTCCGGTGAAGCCCGTGACCAAGAAGCCGGTTCGAACGGGCGGGACGAGCTCCTTCTCGGCGATCAACTCGCAAAGGAAGCCTTTCGACACGAGTTCTTCGCGACAAATGGTGACGAGCTTTGCAAACTCTTAAGAGTTCTCTCCTCTCTGATCATCAAAATCGCTTTTTTTCTTGCAGGACTTTAGGAGGAACTCGAGCGGTGGATTCCGGCCGCTCATGTCAAACAGCCACATCTCGTCCTTCTACACGCGAGCCAGCAACTCGCTCCAGCAGCGCTCCATGACGGACTCGTCGATCAACAGCAGCAGCGCGGCGAGTGTGGAGCACGACCAGGACGAGGAGGTTGCGTCCAGGCTGAGCCGGGACGAGCGCGACGAGTTTGCGTCGCTCGACGCCATGATCGACGACAGGAAGGCCGAGGAGCTCCTGGAGGATCACTCCCTGGAGCTGGCGAGGAGCTGCGAGGAGACGAGAGTCCTGGAGATCGTCGAGGAGCTGGAGCCGATGGTGGAACAAGCTCGAGCTCAAACTCAAGTTCAGGTCGAGGAGGAGATGGTGATCGAGAAGTCCGACCACCATGAGCTCCTGGTGCTCACGCCAACTTCCTCGGATCACTCTCCACCCTTTCAGGACGAAGTCGACATGGAGATCGACGAGAGCCATCCGCTCGACGAAGACACCGGAGCCAGCATGAGAAGCTTGCTCGAGCTCGTCATCAGCAAAGCCGTGGATCTGGCCGAAAACCAGGAGAGGCAATCAGCGAGAGCTCCTCATCCGAGCTCCAAGGTCCCTGGAGGAGCTGTCAAGCCGGACGAAGCACAACAAGAGCAGAACTCCTCGCCGCCATCTTCCACAAAGGATCCATCCCTCCACTGCTTCACTCAGCTCATCGATCTAAAGTACAGCTCCAGCTCCCTGGAAGTCTACCAGTTCGATCAGGAGCTCCACACAACCGGCTCGGAAGTGCTCGGACTCGCGAACGATCCTGCTCCAAAGCCCAGAGACTGCCGCTCCTCGATCTCTCCCAGCACTTCCACCACGACAATCTCGGACAAGAAAGCCTCCACTTCGTCGTCCAGCGCCTCCCAGCTCTCGGAAACTTTCGCCACTCGATCGTCCAACGACCGGGGAGATCATCCAAAGACGAGCTCGACCAACACCGACGTCCATAGATTGTCGTCCCGGATCACCACCAAGCTCCGAGACCCTCCAAACTTCGGCGCATTCTTGAGCGCGTCCAGGCACTACAAGAGGAGAGACTCGAGGGAATCGTCGCTCTTCTCGATCCAGATAAGCTCCTCCAAAGGTGGCGAGAGCATTTCATCCGGAGGACGTCCCGCTAGCACCACCGACGATAGCGTCGACGATATAACCCCGCGGAGGATCCACCACCTCGATCTAGCATGCAACGGCGACGCGTCCAGCAACGGGACGTATACGTACAAGGTCTCGGACGAGTACGACACCAAATCCGAGGAGAGCTGCGTCGACTACTACATCGATTCCATGGATCCACCGCAAAAGTTCGTGGACAAGACGACGAGCGAGCGAGGAGGCAGGACGACGAGCTTAAACTCTAGCAAGGAGTGTGAGATCCTGGCGAGCGAGGATGTTCTTCCCGGTGGCTTTGACAACGACGAGGACGGATACGTCGACTACTACATCGATGATTTCTCGTCGCGGCAAAAGATGGCGGGGAGCGACGATCGTGAGTTCTCAGAGCCAGCAGCGAAGAAATCGATCGCGGCGATCGCGGGTCACCGGCAGGACGCCATGGACATTGTCCTGGAGGAGGAGAGATCGCTGCTCGTGGATGATACACACATAGAAGTGTGTAGCATGGAGGAGTCTTCCTCCTCCGAGTGTGGAGATCATCATCCTGGGGGATCTGGCGAGGATCCTCGCGATCGAGGCGACGAGGAGATCGACACCATGACCGAGTGCTGGAAGCAATTGGAAGAGGCCGAGCAACATCACCAGCATCACGAAAAACTTCCAGGTAAGTTTCTTCGCTGCTAGAGAGAGCTCTTGTTTCGATCGATCGATGACGAGCTTGCTTCATTCTCTTCGATGGCAGGGAGCATCAATGGTGCTGGCAAGGATCCAAGCACCACCAATACCATCGGGATCTCCTCCAGCGAGAGCACCCGCGAGAGCATCCTCTTCTGCAGCTCCATCGTCCACGACCTCGTCTACCGGGCCGCGAGCCTGGGGATCGAGAAGGAGGATCTCAAGGCGGCGTCGGCGGACGAGCTCGTCACCTTCCTGGGGCTGTCCAAGACGCACCACATCCCCCCAAAGTTCGTGGATCTGGATCCCACCAAGTGGAAAGCCAGCGAGGAATCCACCGTGCGGAGAACGCTCACTTACTTGCAGAACCAGAAGCTGATGCCAAAGACCACCGTGGCCTTCATGCACAGCCCGCCCCTGGGAAGAGTTGAGGAGGACGTCAAAGATCACATCATCCCAGAGCACCACTTCATCGATCGATCGCTCGAGAGGGGGGGCGACGCCGCGAGCGCCGAGTCGCTGCGGCGCCGGCGATCGCAGTCCAAATGCCGCTGCGTGATCCTGTGAGGAATCAGCGAGGGGCTGTGGCTTGTAAGAATTTTACTCGTGTACTGCAGTAAACTAAAGAAGAAAAGAGATTTTTAGGGTTCTTGGGAAACTTGGTGACGTGTCAAGGAATGTTTAATGTCGTTTTGACGTGTACCTGTCGCGCCATTAATGACGGGCACGCGACGCCGCCTCGCCCGTCAAAACCGTTTCCGCGGCATAATAATGCGCACATCCAACGACTGCTATGCAAGGTGGGCTTAGATCCATCGGTGGAGATCTTCTCGCCCTTCTGGCACGTAATAAACAAGTGAAGTGGAATAACAAGGGAGGGAGATTAGTATACGCAGCAGTGCCACAAAGGGAGGAGTGAAAGCACTCGAATCTCCTCTCACCCACCACCGAAACTCTCGCATTCATTCAATCGATCGCTTATCTCTCTCTCTTCTTCCTCTTTTCCTTCGGTTGCTCCGATCGATGGCGAATAATCGATTTGCGGGGCGCGCGATCGATCGGCCGCGCGAGAGAGCAATGCTGGCATTGCTCTTGTTTTTTCTATCCCTGGATCTCTCGCTGGGGCAGTATGATCACGCCAATGCCTATGGCGTTCCCGCGATTCTAATCTTCGGCGATTCCACCGTGGACGCAGGCAACAACAATGTGTTTAGCACGATCATGCACAGCAATCACGCGCCCTATGGCCGCGATTTTGGATTCCCCACCGGGAGATTCAGCAATGGTCTGCTCGCGCCGGACATCGTCGGTGAGTTGACTATTCGTTGATTATCGTGGACTGGCTCTTGACTGTGCTTGTTCTTGGAGAGATCTCGCAGCCCAGAAGCTCAATCTCCCATTCCCGCTCGCGTTCACTAGTCCGAATGCCACCGGAGACAATCTCATCTTTGGAGCGAATTTCGCGTCGGCAGCGTCGGGGCTGGTCGATTCCACGGCTTCGTTGTTTGTAAGCTCGATCTCTCTCTTGTTTGCTATTGAAGCCATGGATCTTCCTTTTGCTAGAATGTGGCTTCGTCCACGCAGCAGCTCAAGTGGTTTGCGAGTTATCGGCAGCAATTGGAGCGGATAGCCGGGCCGGATCGCGCGCAATCGATCCTCTCCAGGGCGCTCTACGTGATAAGCTCCGGGAGCAACGATTATATCTACTATCGCCTCAACACTCGCCTCTCCTCGCAGTACAATAACGAGCAATTCCGGGAGCTCCTCATCAAGCAGACCTCGCAATTCATCCAGGTACGCGACTTCACTCCGATCCGGGCTAGTTTTCCATTGCATTTCTCTTGGATTCTCGCAAATCTTCCATCAATCAATCTCTTTTTCTTCCCCCGCTTGGAATTTCACACGTTCCAAGAACAGCCTCACACAAATTTGCTCTTTGGAATCTCTCCAGGAGCTTTACAATGTCGGTGGGCGCCGATTTGCGGTAGTCTCAGTGCCTCCGCTGGGATGCTTGCCATCGGAGATCACAACCGCGGGCAAACGCGATAGAAGCTGCGTGGAAGATCTCAATTCCAAGGCCGTCGCCCACAATGTCGCGCTCCAGCAGCTGCTCACGCGAACCAAGGCCTCACTGCCGGGAACCAAGGTCGCATACCTCGACTGCTACAGCGTCCTCTTCGATGCCATCCACAATCCTGCGAAATACGGCAAGAATTCCACCCTTCTTTGCTCAAGAAGACTCAATCCCCTGTTTTTCTTCTTGCAGGGTTTAGCGAGACGAATCGAGGCTGCTGCGGCTCCGGATTGATCGAAGTGGGCGATCTCTGCAATGGATTGTCGATGGGGACGTGCTCCGACTCCTCCAAATTCGTCTTCTGGGACAGCTTCCACCCGACGCAGGCAATGTATGGAATCATCGCCGAGGTGTTTTACAACCAGGCCGCCGCGGTGCTCTAGTGAGCGCAAATCGAGAACTCTAGACAAGGAAAAGAAAGCCCTCTCCCATCTTCCAAATCCAATCCCAAAAGAGAAAAGAGCTCGAGACACTGTAAATTTGGTCACTGAGATTCGGGCAGTAAGCATAAAAGCGCTTAATCCTTCGATCGCTTCCTTCCTCCTCGCTGCGCGCATCGCATCGCAGAGACGACGACGTACACAATTCCTACATACATTAAAACATACGTATTGTTTATTACGGAGGGTTTATTTCGTACTTTGTACGAAGAGACTCTCCTTGTACGGATGCCACTTTGATCTTAGGGTTCTTCTTCGGGGTAGCAGTTGTCGGTCTCGCAGACGCTGCAAATGGGCCCGTAGAGGAGGAGGGTGGAGCACTCGCCGCAGAGCTTGCCCGGGACGCGCAGGATGTGGGCGAGCGTGACGGTCTCCCAGAAATCGAGCTTGCGGTTGTGATCGGCGTCGAGGGCGTCGAAGCACGAGAGGGCGACCGCTTTGACGGCGGGGTCGCTGTAGCGTTCCACCTCCGTTCGCGTCACTCCCCTACTCGCATTTTGATCCATGCCTTTGAAGAGGCGCAGCGCCTGGGATCGCTGTTCCAGGGGGAGCTTGTGGTACGCGGCCTTGGCCTCCTGGTGGAGGCGGCGGATTGGATCGTTGCAGATGGAGTGATCATGGGCCGGGAGAGTGCACTGAGCCATGGGAGAGAGATCTAGAGGTGGATTGGAGTGCGAGGAAACTGGAGACTGGATGCTAGTTTGTGATGAATTCCATGGCGGGATGGTCGTTTATATAGTGAGATTGCTGCGCCCACCACTACCGCCCTTGAATCGAATCAAACGTACGCGGGAGATGCTCAGCGATTCATGGATGATAGAGCTGCCGACCATGGCTAAGATCAGATCGTATAGGCGCGATAAGTGTTTAGTCTACACACGATTCTCCTTCTTCTTTGGTTTTCCTGCGCGGACACCATGAGAAGGAAGAGAGGAATCACAACACTCGCACAGCATGTAGTACACCTCACATAGAAAGCACTTGGAATTATTATGAGATAGAACAACACACATAGATTTAATAGAGTATGGTACCACCACAGAGAGAGAGTGAGAGATTTTATAAAAACTTCCATCAATCATGTGTCTGGAGAGCTCGTGGAAGCATGAGTTTGGCTTCGTACACCAGCGCGAGCTTAAAAAATCTAGAGGTTTTTTTTATCAAGGCTCGAGCTTTTAATCCCCCACTTAAACTAGAGATCTTTTTACCACGTAATTGGCATGCAAAATCACTTTTTTCTCGACCATATTCGTGATTTCTCGCTAACAATTCTTTGAGTTTTGGGGGATAGCGATGGAGACTGGACACACGGACAAGTTCTTTGACCACGGCTTCCATTAACCTTTGGTTTTGGAGCGATTAGTTTTGGTGGCTGGGCTTGTATTTTTTGTTTCTCTCTTTTTCCCTTTGCTTGGAGGCCATTTTGTTTTGCAGAGGCATCGGTGGTTGCGGCTGCCTGGCAGGGAAATGTGGGAAAGCTCGAGCTCTCCGGTGGTGGGTTTTGTGGATCTCACTTAGATCTGCGGGAGCTCCACCCAGAGATTGCCGAGCTATGGCGGAGTTTGGCGGACAAAGCTCGAGGTAATGAAGAGGCGCTTGCACTGTTCCTTTGCTTGCATGATGTGCTTTCGAGGTTTTTCCTCGTTGTCTTGCTAGTAGCGGCTTGCGGATCTTTGATCTTGGTTGTTTGGTGGTCTGGTTTTTTTTTTTTTCTTCTTTTTTTTTCAGCTATGCTCAAAGTTTGTGTGATGGATCAATGTAGCTCGGGGTGAAGGCTGGTTGAGGAGATGAGCCATGGAAAGTCCTCAAAAGTGTAGCTCCTTCAAGAACTTGGTCGGGACCATCGAATCACTGCTGGGATCCAAGAGCGATCTTACAGTCACTTGGGCTCAGTCCGTCAAGCTTATCATCGAGGATTTGTCCAACAGCTGCCCTTCAACTCCTTGTACACCATCTTTTCCAGAAGGGGCCATCTACAACAACACCGAAAAATCAAGCCTCCAAGGTAGAGAAGAATCTCTCTTTTATTTTTTTTGTGTGTGTTTTTCGTTGATTCTTTTTCTTTTCGTTTTTTTCCAGGAGAGCTCATACTTCTAAAGGCTGCCTATGCCTTGTCGAATGTTAACAGGAAGCTCGCTTTAAACAAGCTCCTCGATCTCAAAGGTCTGCAAGTTTCTAAGATTTCTCTGAAAAATCAAAACTTTGTGCAGGGAACATACGAGTTTTTTGTAGAGTTCGGCCTCTCCTTTCCTCCGAGCAACAGGGAAGAGTCGGCATTGTAGCCACGGATGTTCCAAATCAAGTCCAAGTATCCTCCTCTGGTGGCAAAGCCAGGAACTATCTATTTGATAAGGTTTTCCACGCGGCATCCTTACAAGGTACGAAACCATTCAAATGGTGGCGACAAGAGCTTAAGATTCTTTGTTTCTTCCAGATGATGTTTTCTCAGAAGTGGAGCCAATTATCAGGTCCGCCATGGATGGAAGTAACGTTTGTATCTTTGCCTATGGACAAACCGGCACTGGAAAGACGTTCACAATGGTTGGTTTCGTGATTTTCTCGTTTTTTCGTCCTCGTCTCAGACTTTCAAGTTCTCAGGAAGGTAGTCAGGATTGTCCAGGAATAGTTCCTCGCACTTTGCAGCAGCTCTTCTTCGACGCTTCGCTCGACACAACTGTCGAGTACTCATTCAAGCTGAGCATGCTCGAAGTGTACCGTGGGTGTTTGCGCGACTTATTGGCTCCTCGGCAAAAGCAGCAGTCGAGCAGCAAGAGGCAAGAAATCCTTGTTCGTTATCTCTTGAAACACGTGATTTTTTCTTCTCCAGCCTTTGCATCCAGATGGCTGGATCTGGTAGCACAGAGATAGAAAACTTGACAGAGATTCCGATTAAAAGCGCGAGCCAGGCGAGATATCTATATCGCAAGGGGGTCCGTTCGAGGTCTACGTGTTGGACGACTGCAAACGAGACATCGAGTAGATCACACTGGTGAGAGTCCAAAACTTTTCTTTTTTTGTTCCATCTTTTCTCCGACCGCCATAAATTCTTCTTTGCTCGATCAGCTTGGTTCGAATCAACATCACTTGCAACTATGGAAAGCAGAGCCACGCAAGCAAACTTTGGCTGGTGGATTTGGGAGGGAGCGAGAGGTTCTTTAAGACGCAAGCGCAGGGACAAACTCTGGAAGAAGGCAAAGCCATCAATGCATCCTTGTCCGCATTGGGGGATGTTATCAGTGCTCTACAACGAAAGCAACCACACATACCTTACAGGTAAGAATCTTTGTTTCTTTCTTTTCATGGAACGAGCGAGAGTTAACTGGTTTTTTGGTTGGTGTTCTTCAACTTGTGACGAGCAGGAATAGCAAGCTGACACAGATTCTTCGCGATTGTTTAGGTACTTTGAAAAGTTTTGCTTGGTGCCTCAGAGAAAAAATGGTTTTTTCCAGGGAAGGATTCGAAAGCTTTGATGCTTGTTCACGTTAGTCCAAAGGAGGAAGACCTTGGAGAGACGACGTGCTCGCTAGGATTTGCTTCCAGGGCCAGGGCGATTCATCTTGGAAGAGATATATCTCCTGTAAGATCCTATAGTTTGTTCTCTCCCTTCATAGTCTTGAACTCTTTTCTCTTATGGATTCTAGAGCGCAAGGGACGAGAGAACAGCTACCATGGCCAACGTTTTGGCGAAGATGAAGCTCTACGAGACCGAGTGCCAGAAGCTCAACGAGAACATCCAAATGGTGGAGTCTCTCATCCGCCGCGGCATTGAAAACCAAGACTTGGACGAGCTGCAAGCCAAGTTACTCTCGGCGAGCGCAAAGAAGGAGCTCACCACCACCACCGCCGGACGTTCTTCATCCTCTTCATCGTCGTCCTCCTCCATTCCCAGATTCATGACACCCACAGTGAGCAGCCAGCGCAAGAAACGCAGCAGCACGATCCACCTCGAGAGCGTGGTCTCGGTGATGATGGAGACGACCACCGAGAAGAGAGTGGTGAGATCCGGGACGCCGGAGTCTCGCCAGGTGCGAAGAACTCTCAACTTCCAAGTCCATCGCCAAGAGGTTGTCCGCCATCACCAAGTTGACGATCCTCCGCCACCTAGAGTTCACGAAGTTGGAGCTCAAGAGGACGAGCTGCTGGTTGATCGCAAAGCTACCGCTGCTACCGCTGCTACTGCTGCTACTGCGAGGAATGGTTTCACGACGGAGAATTCAGCTCCATCGCCATCGCCTCCACTCCCGGTGGCTGTGGCGGCAAAGTCCGAGAGAAGATTGATGAGGACGAGCGCCACCTCCACTCAAGCTGGCAAGGAGCGGGGTGGAAGATGTGGGTGGGAGTACTTAGGCAAGAAGAGCTCCAAGTACCGGAGGAGATGGACGCTCGAGTGCTCAAGCAGGATTTCTATCACCGAGAGGTTGTGACGAGAGATCCTACCTTTTGTAAACTAACTTGCTAGCTTGAGGGTGATGATCTCCAAAACATAGAAGAAGATTTGTTCCCAAGTGTTCTTGTCATTTACACGATCATCTTGCGATTTGTAGCTGTAGGCCTACTCTCGAGAAAATCACACAAACAACTATATGTAGGCCTACTCTCGAGAAAATCACACCAAACAACTACAAGCAAAGAATGGATCACGACTTACGCGTATTTGACGCGACCACAGCGGTCGCACGGCTCGGGAGCAACTTTGGCAGTCGCCTCTTTCTTCGCTGATTGTAGCTTTGACAGATCCCAGTCGAGAACAGCGCTGAAAGCGCTTGCGGCCTGCTGGAGCTGCTGCGGTCTGCAACACAGGAGGAGCAACCATTGTCAATCGCCCGAGACTTTGAAAAGAAAAAACCAAGAGAACGTACTTGATTGTCAATGGAGGAGAAAATCTTATGATCGTGTTATGCGTTGGCTTAGCGAGGATTCCCCGCTCTTTCAGCGCAAGGCAAACTTCGTAGGCGTTGCTCGTCCCCAGCCCTTGAGAGTTCAACTCCACGGCATTTAAGAGTCCGCGGCCCCTCACCTCTTTCACCACGTCCGGATGGCACTTTTGCGAGTTTTGGAGATGCACTCTAAATTCTTCCCCCAGGTCCGCTGCCCTGTATAAATCAAGATGAATACAAGTGTTTGCTGGTGGAAAAAGCTCTCACCTTTCACAAAGCTGCTCGTCTTGGACAACTTGCAGTGCAGCGATAGCCACTGCGCTTGCCAAAGGATTTCCTCCAAAGGTACTGTAATTATGAATCAGGTAGAGAATTTAGAATGGCATTGCCAAACCTTCCGTGCTCCCCAGGCTTGATGCACAGCATTACGTTCTTGTCAGCGAGCACAGCACTTACGGGGACCACCCCAGCACCAAGTGCTTTTCCCAAAATCTAAAGAAAAGATGAACTGTCAAAGTGAATCATACCGCAAACATGATCATACCACAACATCAGGTCGAACTTCTTCCCAGTCGCAAGCCAGAAGTTTTCCAGTTCGACCGATTCCAGTTTGTATCTCATCTGCTATCATCAACACCTTGTGCTTGGAGCAAAGCTTGCGCACCTCCTTGATGTAACCTTCGGGTGGAAGTATCACCTAGAAAAAAAATATGACGTTAAAAGGATATCTATGAAATGGATAACGACGGACCATACCCCAGCTTCCCCTTGAATAGGCTCGAACAGAAAGGCTGCAGTCTTCTTTCCATGCTCTACACGGAAGCTGATAGCTTGTATAAAACAAAAGAAAACAACGCACCTTCCAAAGCGGATGCGAGTGCACTGATGTCACCAAAATCAACCTTTACATGGCCGGGAAGCAAAGGCCAAAAGCCTCGAGTAGCCTCATTGTCACAACTCATCGATATCACTCCAGTTGTTCGACCGTGGAAGCAACCACAACACGAGATGATAATGGCCTGAAAACTCCAAAAGCCTCAGCAAGCCAAAGTAGATTCATATCCTTTGGTTTCATTACCTCGTTCTTTGGAATTCCCTTCTTTTCGTATCCCCACTTTCTCGCCAGTTTCATGGCCGTCTCCACGCCCTCGGCCCCGGTGTTCATCGGCAGCACCATCTCATATCCAAACAACTTGGTGATCATCTTCGCAAAGGCTGGGAACTTGTCATTATAGAAAGCTCGCGAGCTCAACGTTAAGTTGTGAGCTTGCTTGGTGAGAGCTTCGATGATCTTTGGATGGCAGTGGCCCTGCAATTTCAGATCTCAAGCAAAGAAAAATGAAAAAAACCGCTATAATCTCACCTGATTCACGGCAGAATAGGCAGAGAGAAAATCCAAGTACTCCCGGCCATCTGGATCCCAAACCACGGCGTCCTTGGCACGAGCAAACACCACGGGCAGCGGATGATAGCTGGATGTCGCGATCGCGATCAAGAGGGCAAAACGAACGAACGATCGCTTACTTGTGAGCGCTGTAATGCTGCTCGTCCTGGATGAGGAACGCCGATTTGTCGCTCAGCGACGGCGCCGAGACCTCGGCGCTGGTGATGTAGCTGCGATCGCGCAGGAATCGCCGCGATCGCAGCAGGGACCGCCTCAATGCCGCCGCCGCCACCGCCATTCTTAGCCTCTCCGAAGCATAGCTTCAAACTATCCCTAGAAATATATTTCACTCGTCAGCGCCTACGTGTCAATCCTCATGGATAGAACAGAATATACCCATTTAAGAATATGCTTGTTTCTAGGGTTCTACGCGGCAATGGGGGAGAATGTCCACGATCTCGTGGAAATCGTGGAATGTAAGCTCGACACAGCGAAATACATGGATTCCGTCAGGAGCCCAGCCGCCGGAGCGATCGCGAGCTTTGGCGGCACGACGCGGGATAGATTCCAGGGCAAACAGGTTCTAGAGCTTCGCTACGAGGCATACGTGCCAATGGCGAGCTCGCAGCTGCGCAAGATCTGCCAGGCGGCCCGGGAGAGGTGGGAATTGATCGGCGTGGCCGTGGCGCACAGGATTGGCGTGGTGCCCGTGGGGGAGGAGAGCGTCTTTGTGGCCGCCTCGTCGATCCACAGGAAAGAGGCGCTCGCCGCTTGCCAGTTCTTGATTGACGAGATCAAGGCCTCGGTGGCGATCTGGAAGAAGGAGATCTACGCGGATGGGGAGGCCTGGAAGGAGAATGCCGAATTCGAGAGCACTAGGAGGAGCTGTTCCTGTGGTCATTGATAGAGAAGAAAAGTCCACTCGTATAAGCGGTGGAGATTTGGCCTTGGAAGAGCCCTAAATAACGGTCAGTCCCAATGCCAGGAACACTACTCTTCTTGGACTGATCTCACTCTACTCGACTCCAGCGCCGAGAGGGAAGAAAATGTATACTTGCAAGAAAACCAGGAGCAGCAGCAGCACTGGGATCGATCGAAAGCCGGCGGCCAAAGTTTCCAATACCAATAGCTCGAGCACGAGAAATCCTTCCCTCGAGCAAGGCTATGCTTCTAAGAGGTCTGCTTCTTTGTCTGGCGTCACCACAGATCTTCGAAGAACCAGCCTCGAGAGCAAGCCCAGCAGCACCATTTCCACCGGAGTTTTCAAGCCAGCGCCTCCACTTCCAGCTCTAGGAAGGCCCCGAGATTCCAGAGTTCGTCCCAAGTTCGACCTCCGGCTAAACGAACCTCCACCACACTCGAGCATGATGGAGCCGGATCAGCCATCTTCATCGGCTTCTTTCAAGCGAGAGGCCACCACTCCCCCATTCGCTTGCGAGACTGTTCCTTGCAAGAACCCCGCTTGCCACCCCGGCTCATCCGACTTCCAGGCCCCAGTGAACGACTTCTTCTTGCAGAAGAGCTGGATCAAGGGACCCTCCGATCCGTCCGGTACCGTCGTGAGCCTCTCGGACCGCCCCAGCCTGTGCATGAGCGTCCACGGCTCGGAGCTGGCCGTTGGATCCTCCGACCATGCCATCTACACCATCGACGTTGGAACTTGCGGGCTCACCAGGATCATGCACGGGAAATCTTACGGCCACACCGACTGGGTCACTTGCCTGGATCATCTGCCAGACGGAAGAATCGTTAGCGGCGGAATGGACAACAAGCTATGCCTGTGGGACAAACGAGGTGTTCGAAGCAGGGACCTCAAAGGACACACTGCGTCTGTGTCGGGAGTTAAAGCCGGTGTTTTCAACCAAGGGAGTATAGCAGTCAGTGCGAGCTATGACAGGACTTTAATCCTCTGGGATCTGGGAGGACCTTCGGGGAGAGAGGTAGCAAAGCTGGCAGGACACAAGGCACCAGTCATGGAATTCGCAGGAACGCCGAGAGGGAGGCTTGTGAGTGGCTGCAGGGACGGGACTGTGATACTCTGGGACGTGGACGGGAGGTCTCCCGTCTTGCAGTGCAAGAACGCTCATAAAGGCCACGTTACAGCGTTAAAGGCAGTAGAGGAGGAGGCAGGGGACGTGTTTCTCTCAGGAGGGCAGGATGGCTTACTTCAAGTCTGGGACTCTCGATGCAGGCAGCCAGTCCACACTGCTTGTCTCCACAGGCACTCCCTGAAAGATTTTCTTGTTAGAAAAGCACTAAAGAATGTCTACTTTTACTTTCCAGATCTGCAAAAGGCGTTGGAGCACTCACCTGCATTGCAGTGGCGAAGAACACAACCTGTGGATGTCCCCTGGTCACAACAGCAGGCGCGGACAGAGTACTGAAGGTCCTTGACGTAAGAGCGTCCTTTAATGCGGTCTTTACTCTGGAAGATCACCAGGATTTTATATACAGCCTCTACATGAATGGTACGTAAGCCAAAAGAGAAAACGAAAAGAAACTAGGAGAACTTACAGAGAAAAATGGAACAGGCTCGCTGGCTTGGAGCGGTGGAGGCGACGGATCTCTTCTGGTGCACGACGTTGAGCGCGGTAAGTGCCTCTATGGCTTGGGAGCGATCAAAAACGGTGCCGTGAGAGGAATCTCTCTCGCTGGTGACGCGCAAGAGAAGCTTGTTGTCACTGGAGACGATGGTAACGTGATGCTGTACTCTCTTTAGTTTTCACAGAGGACCTGTGTATATACAAAAGATTAGCAAGGAGAAAGCGAAGTATATAAACCTGTGATGAATGTTCTCCCAATGTACAAAAAATTTCTGTAAGTAACAAAAAATGACAAGGGAGATTATTCAAAACGCGATCAGATCATCCGCGGGCTTTTTCTTCTTGTCGTTGCTGGCCTCTTCTTCTGCCTTATTCCCGAATATCATCTTGTCCAGATCTGCCAAAGGATCCTCGCTGGGAGATGGACGAGCTCCAGCCTTGGAAGATTTGTTGCGAACTAGAGGGTCGTCCAGCTCGGGCTCCTCGTCGACGATCACAAACGCCGAGTCGTCGGATTTAGGGAGCTCTGATGGTGGAGGCAGTGGTGCTACTGCGCTGGACATCTCCTCATACTTGTCGAGGGCTTTCTGGAGCTCATCGTTGACGTTGAGAGCTTCGAACAACAGGGCCTCGTTCTCGCCAACTCTTTCGATAATTCTTTGTATGTTAAACTGGGACTGCCGGCACTGCTCCACTAGCGCGATGGTAAGCTCTTCCTGGAAAGATAAACACAGAAGAAACACTTGTTAAAGCAATTTACGAGAGAATGAGCGAACCACACCTTTAAAACTTCCTGCTGGGGAGACGATGTAAGAACAGTGGAGAGAAGCTCGATACTGTTACGCGCTACGTCAAAAATCTCCTTCTCGTGATCACTGTTGTCCTCGCGAGTAGGGTGGCTGCCAACTACGTCTCTGAGCGTCAGCCTCGAGATGCCAGAGCGCACGGGAGCCGTCTCAACAGTCTGGGGTGGAGTGAAAATGGGAGCCAAGCTCTCGGCATCTCTTCCAGGGAACTTGACACCCCGAGATTTCAAGCTCTGATCAAACAAACAAAGAATCCAAAGTTAAGAAAAGCATGAAAGAGAAGAACCACTCTTTTCACACAAAACAAAAAGCAAAGAAACAAAGAGAAAAGAAAGAGAGAGTTCTGTTACCTTGTAAGTCTCCTCAAACACTGGAAGATATCGAAGCTCCTCTGTGGCCTCACCCCACGACTCGATGAGCTTGAGCGCCTTGTCACGATTCTCGGGCGACGATCGCGGATCGTCCACCAGCCTCACCATCTCGTCCAGGATCCTCTCCGACGCGACCTCCGCGAACATCTTGTCGCAGTTCTTGACAACTGCCTCGAGCAGCAGCAGCACGAGCGTGATGCCGCGCGATTCCTTGCAGCTCCCCATGCGCTTCTTGATCGCCCGCGCCAGATCCTGGCCCGTGATCTTGTCCGCGTTCACCATGTCGCAGATTTCCATGAACTGGCCCCAATCCGGATCGAAGCCCTGCAATCCCGTCGCCTCCTCCACCAGGCGATCCACAGCCGCATTGGACGCCTGGAACATCTCCCGCACCCGCTCGCTCACATTTCCCATCCTCTCCGAGACCTTGCGCCCTACCTCGGCGCCGCCGATCTTGAGGCGCTCGCCCAGCGCCGTGAACTTCTCCTTGAGATTGTCCGCCATAGCTAATGAATGACGAACGAATCAAAACCCTAGCTAAATAAGGTCATTTGTGCACGTCAGCGCCAGCGCATTTGCCATCTCAGGCAGTAAATTTGCCACCCAGTCGACACGGTGGCTCTTATAATTGAATAAATCAAATTTAAATTTTGGATTAAAATTTGTATATATAAAATTACAAGTTCAGGTATATTAATATTAACATTGTGAGGGCCAAGTATACAGCTACAATGCCGTATACTAATATTAACATAATTATCAGATTGGTTTCAATTCGGACCACTTGTTTCTATATATAATTTAGGGTTTTTGGATTAATTTATATGCACATTTTCTAAATTCCCTTTCCATATTTCATGTCCGCACGAAGCAAGAGGCTTCAGAAATGAACACCAAATTGCATCACTGACTCAAATGGCCTTTGACAAAGACAATGCAATTGTTGGAAGACATTATCACAATCGTCAATATATCCGAATGTGCATTTGAAAATGTCTGGAAAAACACTCTAATCCCTACGAATGGCTACACTCAAACCATTGTACCATTGCAACACCGTCTCTTGGAGACACGTGGAAAACTCATGCAAACATCAAGCATCATCCCAAGAATAATATGTGGCAATCACCGTGAAGTGATCGAACTAATGGTACACATCATCCCCAAGGTTCCCAAGAAAGAACTCCGGCTGAACGTGAGGATTGGCACCAAGAGTAAGAAGAGTTGGACCATGTGCCATGAATGCCATCAACTGAGTTTGGTTGTTCAATTGCAAGCACATAGCATCAAACAATTGTACCAATTGCTACTCCAGAGTCAAAAGAAGAGATTGTTGATCTGCCATGAAGATGAACAAAAAGGAAAGAGCAAAAAAAGAGAAATGACAAAAGCTAGAAGGAAAGGGAGATTTAGACAATGCAAAAAGCTATATCAAAACCAAACTCTTGAAAAGAAAGAATAAAAGAAAGGAAATGGAAAAAGTTAAATCTAGACAATACAAAAGTTAAATCTAAACCAAAATCCCGAATCCAAGCACTCCTCAGGGACAATCAAAAGTTGCCTCTCATCTCCACCAATATGAGTGCCGTATTAAGTGTTGCGGCAAATTGAACCACAAGTTTATGAGGTTTGGCATGACATCTAGCAAGTCGATCCTCCAGAGATTATGCATGTGCAATGGTTAAAACATTTCATACCAAGGGATCAGGAGCAATTAATACCACCTATAGATCCGCTGATGCCTCCTCCTGATGTTCCTCTTGATCCCGGCCCATCTACAAAAGAACCTTGATAGTCTTCCATTATTCCGAGAGGAGGGAATGATGTGAGGGCCAACTGTACAGCTATAATGCCATATATTAATATTAGCGTAGTGGGATTTTGGTAGCTATTGGATTGGTTTCAATCTAAACCACCCGCTCTTGTATATAAGTTAGGGTTTTTGGGTTAATTGATATGCACATTTTCTGAATTCCCTGTCCATATTCCATGCACTCACAGCATGGCTATAATGCCATATACTAATATTAGCATAGTGGGATAGATTAATTTCAATTCAGTGTATATAAGTTAAGATTTTTAGACTTATTGATATGCACATTTTTGTATTTCAATTCTATATTCCATACATTTACATTGGTGGAGGTGAGGGGCAATTTTGATTGTCTCTAAGAAGTGCTTGGATTTAGGATTTTACTTTAAATCTAGCTTTCATATTATCCAGATTTCCTATTCCTTATAGCTAATTTCTTCTCTTTTATGTTTTTCCTTTTTGTTCATTTTCATAGTAGAGTAATAACATCTTCCTCTTTTGACTTTAGAGTAGTAATTAGTGCAATTGCTCGATGCTATACAATTATAGTTGAATAATCAAACTTAGTTAATGGTGGCATTCATGACATATGGTACAACTTTTCCTGCTTTTATTACCAATCCTCACATTTGGCCGGAGTTCTTCTGTGGGAATCCTAGGGATGATATATATCTTTAGTTTGATCACTTTACAATGAATGCCACATATCATTCTTGGGATGATGCTTAGTGTTTGTGTGAGTGTCTTTAGGGGACAATGCTACAGTGGTATAATAGTTTGAGGGCAGCCATTCATGAGGATTAGAGCATTCTCCTAGATGTGTTCAAACATGCATTTGGACATACTGATAATTGTGATGATGCCTTTCAACAATTGTATCATCTTCGTCAAGGTCCATCTGAGTTAGTAATGCAATTTAGCATTTGTTTCTGAAACCTCTTGCTTTGTGCAGAGACAAATATGTCAAAGCGGATCAAGTTGGCGTGATTTGTTATTTTAGCATTTACATTCTTAATATCGTTTTGAAAACAATCTTTTTTATACCGAGACCGAGACCAAGTCCAAGTTCGAATCCAAGTCCAAGTCCGAGTCCAAATACTAATACAGGCTATTGGGTGAAAGCCCAAAGTGATCATCCCCCAGGGGGGGATATAAGGGGTTCCAAAAGTATAGTAGGGAGAGTGTGGGGGTTTGACCCCCAGTGAAGCCAGTTTGGCCAGAAAAGTCTAGTTTGGCACAGAAAGGCCATATTCAGCTATTGGGTGACGGGATGACTACTGGGAAGTCCAAGACTAGAGTGAATACGGACCAGCAAGCGGGGTAGTTTGGTGAAGTGTTCAAGAGCCGGTTTTAGTTCCCTCGAGAGATCGAATGGTAGTCCAAGCGTGCGTGGCATTACCTACTTGGATACCTAGTGTGGCTCAATGGAACCTCACTCTAAGCCCATGGCTATAACACCCAAAGGCGGAAGGCGGGAAGAGTACCCACGAGGCTCGCACAGGGCCAACAGTGTTCCAAAATGTTGTCCCGGATGGTGGAAAGGAAGAGGAGTAGTCCTCTGGTATGGTGACCAAAGATGCAATTATATGACAAGGAAGTCCTAGAGAACTAGGGGCTTAGAGGTCAGGCTTGTGGGCCTTGATCCAATGGCAATGTTGGCAAACATGGTCATGAACAGAAAGGGACTTGGTAGGGACCGGAAAAGAGATATTGAGGAAGGTTATTCCCTATGTCTGTAAGCATCCTAAGGATGCTAAGGAATGGATCTAGGATGATTACTCATGGATGGATGGCCTAGTCTTTGAGAGGCAAGACTGTGATGTAGGTGGTGTTAGACCACCAGTGTAACCAAGGTGAATAAGCATGGCTTTAGTGTAACGGGCTGATATGTTAGTGGTACCTTGGGGTGTTGACCATGGGATCGGACACATATAGCACTTGGACCAAGTGCAAAGGTTGAGTGGCATGGATGCCATTCTTGGGGATAGCAAGCCCCAAGTCCAGAATAGGACTTATGGAGGTTGTGAGTGAGACTCCTCCAAGTGGTCGGAGGTGTGGTTAAGTGACTAAAGTAGAATGAAAAATTTAGTTGCTTACACCACCCTTGCTACTCTGTGTATCACTCGGCTTCAAAGGAATGATATATCCCTACCCGTAAGGACATAAGGAGAGGGCTAGAGGCCCAACTACCCCTAAACAAGAAATCAACCCCGTCAGGAAGATTTAAACAACTATTATAAACTAGTAGATGAAGTTGTTTACACGACCATGCCCCTTTTCAAAAATGAGTCAACGAAAGAGAGGTGGAGACTATCTATAATAGTTATCCCCATAATTATGGATTAGACCCATGCACCAAAGTGCAACCTGCCAAAACTGACCCAAGTTCTAATAAATGAGAGGAGCAAAACTTTGATTTATAGAAAATATATTACTTTATTGATTTCCAAGATTTATTACAAGATTTACAAAAGTTAGTCTTTATTATGATTCTCATACTCTGTGACAAGCTCACGAGCATGTGCAAGATTCCTAAGAGGCTCCCAAATTGATAACGTTTCCACTTAACTAGATACTCTCGACGTTTAGAACATTGAGTCCAACCACTATCCAGAATAGCTTCAACTTCATACTCAAGTTCACCATCAATGAGCATTGGTGGAGGACAAATGTCTATAGAGCATTCCCCAGTAGCATGATATGGTGCCAGTAAACTGATATAAAACACATTATGTACATGGGACAACTCATCCAGAAGATCCAACTTGTAGGATACATCACCAACTCGTTACAACACCTGATAGGGTCTAACATATCTTAGTAATAGCTTCTGAGATAAAAAGCCCTTGACATTCAAGTTCTGGGAAAATAGCCACACCTGATTTCCCACTTGATAGGATACATCCTGATGATGTTGATCTTTATCACATCAATACTTATCCTGAGCTTTGCCCATTGCCTCAGTAGCTCTAGACCAACCTTGGTGTAGTTGCTCCGCATAAGTCTCAACGGCCTGGACCAACACTCCGGACATTGGTTTCAGAACAACAATCTGTTGAGGAACCCCACGAGCATTCCCTTGCAGCATCTCCCATAGAGAACAGCTAATAGCACTGTGAAATGTGTTGTTATAACAGATTTCTATTGTGTCCAAATGCTCAACCTAGTCGCATTGGTCTGTTGCAACATAGTACCATAGATAATCCTCAACTTGAGCATTCACACATTTGGTCTACCCATCAGTTTGAGAATGATAAGCTGTACTAAATTTCAACTTGGTACCAAACAACTCGAACAGTGTGCCCCAAAACTTCCCCGTAAATCTCAAATCTCTATCTGAGATCATCTCTTCGGGAAGACCACGAACCCGCACTACTTCATGGAAAAAGAACTTTGTTGCTTATTTCACATTCACTGTTTCCACAGTTGGAATGAAGCATGCAATCTTCGACAACCGATCCACAACCACCATCAAAGTATCATAACCCTTAGACTTCAGTAAGCAAGTGATAAAATCAAGTGTCACACTCTGAAATGGTTATGTCGGTACTAGAATGCACTACAACTTTCCAGCCTTTTTCTCAATTTTGCACTTACATTGCTAGCATATAGAGCAAGAACGGATATAATCCGCTACATCACCTTCCATACCAGACCAAAAAAATCCCTTTTTCAATTAAGCAAGAGTCTTTCATTTTCCACCATGTCCTACT